TGGGTGTTTTAAGGTCCCAGTCTATTCTCAACAATCCCAGACACTAAATTGGAAGCCCCAAAGCTCGATCCATTATTCATGTGTCCTGAACTATTGGGAATTTTTGTATTTTGGCCTTTTATTCTTTAAATGTTATCACTTTTAAAAACATTAATTGATACCGAGGAAGAAGCTTCAATCTATTTTGCAGTAGCTCGAAGAGCAATGGTACTGCTTGCTGGCATATTTCCAATAGCATGCAAGGATCAAATCCATTTGAATGGGTGAGGGGTGTGCACCATTGAAGCGCTGTTGAATCATTTAAATTGGTTTGAAATGCAACAGGGAACTCGCCAGTGATTCACCTCATAGAAAACTTTGGTGAGTTGAACTACGATGACCTTGACTCATGGAGAGGTAACAGCATGTCCAGGTATGCAAAGCACAGCTCAATTTCAGCTTTGGAAATAAGGAACCAAAGAAAATATTCCAATGAAGTAGGTCTCTATAAACAACATGAAACATGATGTAATTTGTGGGCATCACCACCAAACACCAAGCGGCCCTGACCACTTGAAATTCCTTACGTTGTTGACAAAAATCTAATTATAAAAGCATTTTGGTGATCCCTCACTTGAAGTAGTCTGTATGAGGGCATTTATAGCAACCTGACACGATCCTCTTACGTTAATTCAAAGCATCAAACATTTACGGTTTCCAATGAGCTTTCACAATGGTTGATGTCATGTTCTGGCATGTTACAGTACATTACCTCTATCAAAACAGTGAGGCAATGCGCCACCTCAAGACTGAACAGAATCGATGTACCTTCTTCTGCATCCCTGCATCAGTCAACTCTGCTTCGGTCAATATATTGTCTTGAACAGCAACGTTCAGCAAAGACAACAAACTGACTGTATGATGAACTGATGAGAAAACATCCCATTTTTAAGTAGTGTGCCCGTGTCCATTGGTATGAAGGAAAGTGCAGAGGTGTTACTCTGAACACTCATTGAAACTGGTCATAAGTCCCTCAACTTGATACATTTTAAGATACAAATATACAAGATTTACAAAGAATAAACGCAAAGATACTGACTTTGGCCATCAACATGTTTACATTTACATTTTAGTCATTTAGCAGATGCTCTTATCCAGAGCAACTTACAGTTAGTGAGTGCATACATACTTTTTTTATTTTTCATACTGGCCCCCCATGGGAATCGAACCCACAACCCTGGCGTTGCAAACGCCATGCTCTACCAACTGAGCTACATCCCTGCCGGCCATTCCCTCCCCTGCCCTGGACGACGCTGGGCCAATTGTGCGCCGCCCCATGGGTCTCCCAGTCGCGGCAGGCTACGACAGAGCCTGGATTCGAACCAGGATCTCTAGTGGCACAGCTAGCACTGCGATGCAGTGCCTTAGACCACTGCGCCACTCGGGAGACACTGCGCCATGTTGGTGCATGACACCACAGAGGAGAGGGGGGATCATGTAAGAACTATATAACTGTAACAGACTGAGACTTTAGTATGCAGAGGCCCTGCCATGTCATTCCACGGCGCAGAGTGGACCAGCTTCAAAATGTAGAATGTGATTGCCATCCTCCCTGGACTGTCATTAAATCACCTTGGAAGTATATGTTAGTTATACGTTTAAAAATAAAATAATTAACACAGCACCTACAGATGTAGGATCTTAATTTGATCACCCTGTTGTTGCAGGAAATGGATCAACCCCTACAAAAAAAGTCAACTAATTATAATCCACACAATAATTCACATTTCCAGTCGCTGCAGGATTATTTTCCTGCTGTGAGAAACTGGTCAAATTAAGATCCTTCATCTCTGTATGTGAACACCATGAAACACTGCTTTTTAAACAAGACTCAACAAAGACGCACCAAAACAAACGCTATTTGTTACCCTCATTCACAAAATTATATTTGGCATTTGAGTTTGTAAGAAGTGGTCTATTGGTATGCCTCTCAATGTGGTCAGATGTGGTCAATTGGTATGAATCATCTTGGACTCCATATTCATCTTGGTATGCCACTCCATGTTGTAGTGATCCTGCTGGTCTGGTCGGTGAATAAATGAAAATTGGAAATTTCGCCTGCAGCTTGAAGATCCACTTTCCAAGTATGTTGTATGACGTGTCTATGGCCTGAATCGAATTATAGGATGTTTATCATGTTTATTCGTGTTTTTTAAACCAAATATTTGTTTTAAAGGTGTGCAGGGAACCCCTGGTGAACACTTTTTGAGCAGGAACTGAAACGTAGAAAGAGCTTAATGGATAAAAAGTTGACAATTTCTGTCTATTTTATGTAATGTCTATGAAATGACGTACTTGTCCTATAACACAAAATATGTTTAAGTAAAATTGCATGGTGTCAGAAAGTAACCTTCCACTGGGCACACACTGGTTGAATCAACGTTGTTTCCACGTCATTTCAATGAAATGACATTTAACCAACGTGGAATAGACGTCAATTCAACATCTATTCCACGTTGGTTAAATGTCATTTCATTGAAATGACGTGGAAACAACGTTGATTCAACCAGTGTGTGCCCAGTGGAAGGTTACTTTCTGACACCATGCAATTTTACTTAAACATATTTTGTGTTATAGGACAAGTACGTCATTTCATAGACTCATTGACTATGTCTCAGACGAGTGCAGTATTACAAAATTAACACTGATTTATCTTCTTTATAGAGTATCAGTTCTGTGAGCCAGTTACTACTATCAAATAACACTGATGTATTTCTTGGCATGTCCCAAGTGAGGGCCTAAATCCTCCATTGTCCGGATCTATCCATCACTATGGATATTAAAAAAGGTTCTGGGACACTTATCGTAGAAGGAAAAGGTATTAACCGTCGTGTCCTGGCCACATTCCAAACCAGATGTATTTAATTTACTGACCACATAGTAATTCCCTGTGACGACTACACACAGTATAGCCAACTCCCCAGTGGTCAGGTGAACAATACCTTGGATATTGCAGACTGGAGAAATCAATTTCACGTTTAGATACAATACATTGATGTATACAGCAAAGCAACGCATAGAATTAGCTTTGACTTTACATATAGTCAAATAAAAAAAAGCTGGTTAAGTTCACAATATTAAGATTGATCATTTCAAAATAGTTTGTGGTTTTGCTGTTGTATTTATGAGAGAGTCTGTTGGCAGCATTCTATTGTTCTGTATGGAGAAAGTTAGTGTATCATCAAAAGGATATCACCCACACTCACTTTATCTGAAAGGGAAAAATGCCTCCAATGATAACAATGGCAGTTTCTACTTCAAAGTCATCTCAAATTCTTTTTTGTTTTACTCTCATGCTCCGAGAACCAAGAGATACTTCTGTTATAAACCTAATTGTATCACAGACTCAATATAAGTTACTACAGTAGATATGCTCTTTTTGGGGGGTTATTAAGTCAATGAACACATACGGCCATTTTGAAATCATTGATAATGATCAGTCATCGAAACAATTTAGTAGCACCAAATTGTATGGTACAGGAAGGACTAGGTATTTACTTGATTTCAATAAAATTAAGAAAATACACAATACAATTTTAATTATACATTAATAATATGGATTATATATTTGTTTCTTTGGGATTTACCCAGCAATGTTTGTAACAGGTAGTTACCAATTGTGCTGTAAAATGACCCAGAAACAACCCAGTGTTAACACATACTTTCGTAGTAAACACTTGGTAAATACCAATTTAAGCAGAACCATTAAGAATAAAGTGCTACCTACAATTCTTATAGATAATTCCCATATTCCAGTATTCTTGTTGAAAAGAATTCCTTGGGTGATATCAGAACCATTCCAAATGTAAAAATGTATGATTTAAACCTTCATGATTTAATGTGCTTATCTTCATGTTTGTTGAATAACCCCTTTGGGAGCAACAATTACATAAATCCCTTGCTTTTGTGTGTATTTGGGGTGTAATTCATCCACCCACAGCAAATCGATGTGTAAAAGTAAGCCACATGATTCAGTGTCTTGACTGGTGGCTCCCATCGGGTTGTACATGGACTGTGTCTGTATGAAGCACCAGTGCCACCATGTGGTAATGTGTAATGAAAGAGCTACTCAAAACTGTATTTCAAGGAATGGCTACAATATTATACTGTATTTGACTTGAAATGCACATTTAGGTTATTGATGGGGGTTAAAAATACAGTTCTACAGCTTGTCCATTTAGCCCCTGTTTACGAGTAGCAATAATCAATATTATGAGCATTTCTCAGGGGACGAGGGATAGAGGTACTATGATATGTACTGAGTTGATTGATATATGTTGCTATAGAAAACTTTGTTTTATATAGGAAATAATGTTCCGTGATTAAATATGTGTCATTTAATTCCAGTCACATGTAGAATGATTTCAAAAGCTAAACAAGACCAATTTCCTCCATTTTAATTATTCCAATCAAATCCCAACTCCAGTTTATCAGTGAAATTAGAAAAAACTGTGCCATTGAAAATTGACTTTTTGACAGAATAGGGCTTTGAAGTATGTCAAGCTGAAACAGTTTATCAACTATGAACTCGGAAAAAGGACACAACCCTTTTGATGCAAATAATTAATTGGCTTGCACTCATATTTGGCTTTTTGAAATGAACACACTTAATTAGGTTAGAACACAACATTAATAAAGTGAATTCCTTTCCCGCCAAAAGTAGACGTGTGACTGTGATTTATTAACAATATCCTTGTGGAGATACTTGATTAACAACTCCCATTGAATAGTGGGGAATCTGATGGCAAGTTGGCAGTGTGCAAACAGGTGCTCCATATACATGAATTGATTTGTGGAGTTGAAAATGAGAGTGGGCAAAGAGGAAGTGAAAAGTGCTGATGTGATTCAGATAAGCGATTAGAGTGGCTACAGGCCTATACATTTTACATTGCGATTGTATTCAGACAACTTGGGTGAGTGTGCGCTGGAACCCAACAGTAAACAGCTCAGGGACCACACAGTGGGAAGTGATTTTTGCTCTTTTTTATTAGCACAAAAGCAGACGGAGACATTTGGCGGCGAGGAGGGTAACGTGATTTATTGAGGACAGTGACTAGAATCGCTGCGCCTGCCGCTGTAGGCTAAGTGGAGGTCCAGCACTTTGGGGTTATCCATCCGTAAGGAGAGCCAATACCTCAACAGTCCACCAGTTAATTGAAAGTGCAGCTTTTAAAACAGAGATGTAATAAACTAAACATCAAAGCTGGTCAATTTTCACCAAAGCGCCCGAAGGGAGACAGAGCCAAGTTCATTAGAAGGCACATTCAGCTTAGTAAACCCCCCCTCAGTGAAAAATGACATATCTAATCTTAAAGCTGGAATCCTTAGTTGCTACATCCATTTTTGGACTTGTAAATTAATGATATATACCTGACTCTCAAGGAAATAACTTATAAATGCCTCATGAGATTAGTCTACCTGTCATACCCTCTCAGAACCCAAAATATAAGCTTGTTTTACTCCAATGTTCATAAGCAATGTAAACACACACTGTATAACCTCAGAACACAGTTAAAACTATGAATTGCATCCATAGCTCTGTCTATGAATTTGAGAGAGGTTACATTTCTCCAGGCCCATCCCACAGCTTTTTACCAAAACAGAGGCGGTTGGGGCTTTGTTAATGTTTCAATAAAGGATTCGAGCTTTCAATAAAGTTATATTTCATGACTCATGCTAACAGATCAATCACTTTTTATTGTCTTGTCTCTCTTTGGAATTGAAATGCTTCGGTTGTTTACTTTCTCTTTGATGGGGTAGGGGACTTCATGCTACGAGCTGGGGTGGGAGTCTTCAGTCCCCTAGGAGGGGTGGGGGACTTGGCACCGGCTGGAGAAGAGACATGGGAAGGGGCTGGGGAAGGGGCAGGCGTGACAACCTTGGGACCTGGGATCTCAATAGGGCGTTTAGGTGGGATGACGGACTTGGGCGTTAGCGTTGGTTTGGCCTGTGGAATCGTGTCTCCATGCTTGTAGACGCTCACAACGATATCCACAGACTCTCCTCCATATTTGTTCTGCACCGTCATAGAGTACCTGCCACAGTCTTCCAGGGACACACCCTTGATGGTGAGACTGGCGAACCTCCCGGACTCAAGGGACACCAAGTACTGGCCATCGGGATACACCTCCACACCATTTTTTAACCAGGTGACTTGAGGTTTGGGGTCACCGCACACTGTGCAGGTCAAACTCAGGGTCTACCAAGCAGGGCAAAGGAATTGAAGGAATGGAAAGACTGTGGTTACCAGGACAGATATAACAGAAGACGATGGAATGTTGGAGTGCTGTTTTTTGATTTAATCAGTGGTTACTATGCTTATCGTGTCTTGTTAAATCCCTAGTCTTTCCCCTCTTGCAGCCCCAAGGTAAAATAACCAATCACACTACAAACAAGCGTGTGTAGTCACTTTGGAGAGAGGTGCGGTTACAGTGACCTTTACAAGTAGCCCTATTCTGCCATTATGCAAACCATATACCTCTATAACATGTCTACAGAATATTGCTAGCACATACTGTACATCACTCTGCATGTGTTTCATAAGGACCCCAGTTTATGTTTTTCCCACTATATATCATATGCTGTATGAAACCAGACATGAGGTGCTGTGAAATGCAATATATCTCCACAATCTTCCCCCTAAGGGTGATTCTTCAGTGCTGTGCAGTGCTGTAAAGTACTTAAGTAAAAATACTTTAGAGTACTACTTAAGTAGTTGTATTGGGTATCTGTACTTTAGTTATATTTTTGACAACTTTTACTTCACTACATTCCTAAAGAACTCCATACATTTTCTCTGACACCCAAAAGTACTTGTTACATTTTGAATGCTTAGCAGGACAGGAAGATGATCCAATTCACGCACTTATCAAGAGAACATCCCTGGTCATCCCTACTGCCTCTGATCTGGTGGACTCACTAAACACATGCTTCGTTTGTAAATGATGTCTGAGTGTTGGAGTGTGCCCCTGGCTATCTGTAAATTAAAAAAACAAGAAAATGGTGCCGTCTGGTTTGCTTAATATAAGGATTTTGAAATACTTTTACTTTTGATACTTAAGTATATTTTAGCAATTACATTTACTGTTGATACTTAAGCTTATTTAAAACCAAATAATGTTTGACTTTTACTCAAGTAGTATTTTACTGAGTGGCTTTCACTTTTACTTGAGACATTTTCTTCTAAGGTATCTTTACTTTTACTCAAGTATGGAAATTGGGTACTTTTCCCACTACTGGTGCTGTGTATTACGCAACAGTAGGCTACAGTGGACATAAGCTGCATCCACCTGGTTATGATATTTGACACTGACCTTCGCAATGTGTTAAACCATGTCTGGTCACCTGTTCCAGTGTTAAATATATTCCCATCATGGTATTCAATTGCAAAATAAAACATACATTACCTTCTTCTCCATGATGGTAACAACATCAGGGAGACCGCCCAGCACTTTGCCACGGTCTAAAAATGAAGATATCATATAATCACAATATTGCCAGAATAAGAAAAATTCCCACAGAGCCACGATCAGAGCCATTATGACAGAGCCATTATGACAAGAGAATATACTCACTGGCTTCAGCATATGCTTCCTCTCTGGAAAACGAGAAAAATTGCATTGTTAGTGAGTTCATTAGCACAGTGAGGCTTGGTATAGTTCATCCCAAGACTGTGACTCCATACACATGCTCTGCATTGCCACAATACTATGTAGGAATTCAAGCTGTGTTTTAGCTGTAAGAACATGAAATGCATATAGTATTAATGCACTGCATACATGTGCATGAAATAACACGGAAATGTATATACTGAACTGAATTATGACGTGATAATCTTACTTTAGAGTTGTGAATTCTGCAAAGGCTTTATCGTAGGCTGTAGAAGAGAAAGAAAAGATTGGTTATTATTATTTATTATAGCTATTTTCGCACGACGCAACGTGGAGTGCCTGGACACAGCCCTTAGCTGTGGTATATTGGCTATATATCACAAACCCCCCGAGGTTCCTTATTGCTATTATAAACTGGTTACCAACGTAATTAGAGCAGTTAAAATATTGTTTGGGTCGTACCCTTGGTATACGGTCTGATATACTACGGCTGTCAGCCAATCAGCATTCAGGGCTCGAACCACCCAGTTTATAATGAATGTTACACCATACAAAACCAATGTTGAAGTGTAGAAGGAGTAACCTTCTTTCTTTCTTTTTGTTGCCGTTCTTACTGCTACTTGTCTTGGAGACATAGCAGCAGTGCAGCAGAGACATATCGTACCTCATTATTGTAATGTTGTTCTGTTTTGCCTGAAATAGCTCATCCTCGCTCACTCATTACTGTTTCCAGCCCACACATCGCATGACCTGTCAGGGACCAGCCCTTGATTATGTTTGTCATCAAACAGTCTGTTGACTAACTGAAGTCTGAGCCAGGATTGCGCCTTTGATATTGTTGTTCCTGTTATTTCATCCCCCGGATTAGCCTAAATATGCTGCTTGCTTCTGTGTACCCAGCTGCAAAGATGCCCTTTTCTTTGTATTATAAATGTAGAAATCCGAAAAACAACCATCTAAACTGGACACTGCATGGGTTATTCTAAGTCTGTGGCAGGACAACAGTAGAGTGGCCAATAGTTGGAGGTGGTATGATAAAAACTACAACAGTGTTTAGTAGTTGGTCATTTTGATAAAGATGTGCAGTGTTCTCATTGCTGAGGTCCAGCTGAAGGCTCCACCTCATTGATATACAGCCTGAGCTATGGTAATGATATACACTACCAGTCAAAAGTTTGGACACACCTACTCATTCCAAGGTTTTTCTTTATTTTTACTTTTAACCAAAATAGATTTTCTATTTGAGATTCTTCAAAGTAGCCACCCTTTGCCTTGATGACAGCGTTGCATACTCTTGGCATTCTCTCAACCAGCTTCATGAGGTAGTCAACTGGAATGCATTTCAATTAACAGGTGTGCCTTGTTAAAGGTTAATTTGTGGAATTAATGCGTTTGAGCCAATCAGTTGTGTTGTGACAAGGTTGGGGTGGTATACAGAAGAAAGCACTATTTGGTAAAAGACCAAGTCCATATTATGGCAAGAACAGCTCAAATAAGCAAAGATAAACGACAGTCCATCATTACCTTAAGACATGGTCAGTCAATCCAGAAAATTTCAAGAACTTTGAATGTTTCTTCAAGTGCAGTCGCAAAAAACATCAAGCACTATGATGAAACACGAGCAATGGACATTAGACCGGTGGAAATGTGTCCTTTGATCTGAGGAGTCCAAATTTGACATTTTTGGTTCCAACCGTCGTGTCTTTGTGAGACGCAGAGTAGGTGAATGGATTATCTCTGCATGTGTGGTTCCCACCGTGAAGCATGGAGGAGGAGGTGTGATGTGTCGGGGTGCTTTGCTGGTGAGACTGTCTGTTATTTATTTAGAATTCAAGGTACACTTAACCAGCATGGCTACCACAGCATTCTGTAGCGATACACCATCCCATCTGGTTTGGGCTTAGTGGGACTATCATTTGTTTTTCAACAGGACAATGACCCAACACACCTCCAGGCTGTGTAAGGGCTATTTGACCCAAGAAGGAGAGTGATGGAGTGCTGCATCAGATGACCTGGCCTCCACAAAAGCAGCCAACAAGTGCTCAGCATATGTGGGAACTCCTTCAAGACTGTTGGAAAAGCATTCCAGGTGAAGCTGGTTGAGAGAATGCCAAGAGTGTGCAAAGCTGTCATCAAGGCAAAGGGTGGCTACTTTGTTTAACACTTTTTTGGTTACTACATGATTCCATATGTGTTATTTCATAGTTTTGATGTCTTCACTGTTATTCTACAATGTAGAAAATAGTAAAAAAAACTAAGAAAAACCCTTAAATGAGTAGCTGTGTCCAAACTTTTGACTGGTACTGCACAACCTCTGCTTTTTCTACATTCAGATGTTAGGTAAACATACTAATGAAGACTGGGCTGGGAATCCAATGCATACGAATGAATGTGAATATCCAAAATTACGAACTCCATTTATCAGGTGTATCATTTCCAGGTTACCATTATCCTGGCATTGTCCTTGAGGTTCATACATGCTGAATGTGCTAATATCACTGCGTTCATGTGTTATGCTATTTGCAAGACAGAAGGAGAAGTAGGTTATTAAAGTACAACGGCATATATACTGTCTATTTAATCTGACTTACCGTGTCCAGAAAGGTCAATGGTGCGAGTGTAGGTCTTCTCCGTATCTATTATATGGACGTGGTAAAGACCCTTATCCCTGTCTGTGGGTTCAAGGATCTCCATACTGGCCATGGCAGGGGTACCTCCAATATGCACCTTCTCAGAGTGAGAGAGTTTACTGTCCCTGAAATGGTGAAAGAGGAGGAACCGTTGGAGCACAATAAGTATTGTTTTGGGATTGAAAAAAACTCATCCAAGTTTTGCTACTGAAGGTATCCATTGTGTTGGATTGAGTAGGCCCCTAAAGAGCAGTCAATGAAAAATGGTATAAACTCTAATTCACAGTGAAGAGCTTATTAGGAGAACATGATCATAAAAACATAACATGAAATTGTGATTGATTCTAATGAAAATGGTTGAATTTCCAGATTTCTCTCATAATAAGTGTCATTTTCTAGTAGTTTATCAAATAAGGACCAGCTGCTGGACCATTTGAGCATCATCATTATCTTATGTATGTACCAGGGCCCTCTTGGCAGTCAGGGAGGACCTGAAATTTGCCAAGCTCAAATTTGTGAGGAATCATGGGAAATGGTGAGCTTTGTTCAGTCATTGCGTGTGAAATTGTTGCCATGCTTTGAAACATGCTCCCCTTGTCTATGACATGCACGCCAGAAGAAAGAAAAACCTGAAGCAGCTACTCCAAAATGTTCATACAGGGATTAGAAGATCCGCATGGTTTAGCTGAAACTGGTTTGCCTTACACAAGCTGCTGTAACCGATGACTTCCCTCAAGTGTTTTCTTTTAATCCTGTAGCTGTTCTGCTAGGTAGGCCTACTAAATATTTCCTTAGGACAGAGCATTAGGGAGAGTTGATATTTGTTTTGTATTGATAGTGTGTGAAGAAAGGCTGTGGTGTCACTCTTGTTTAAATTTTTTACTGAAGAGTCACAATTTTAGAGAAAATCTCAAATCATGTTTACATGCTTGGCTCATGTTACGCTTTGGGATTAAACCTTCTGTGGATTCTATTTCCATAAAAAATTCCATAATTTCGCATTCTCTACATAATTGAATAAAAGAAAAGTTCATATGCTTACACGTGCAGCCAATGGATTTTCATCTCTTCTGTATAGTATTTCATGTGGCATTGGAGCTGAATGCCTGTTGCAGTGCTGTGAATTGCCAACTCAGCTGCAGAGGATCCTGGTGAGCGAAAAGGAAAACCCAAACGTCCTTTAGTGTACATATGCTGACATTTATGTTCTATATGTCTTAAATTAATAATATATCTTCTTAGATAGACACAACTTGGGGATTTGCTGTGGTTTACTAATTGGTTGGCCAGTGCAGGGAATCGGAAATCAGTACAACAAATGCTGTAATTGGGATATGACTTCAGGCTAGGATGACAGGTACAGATTTGTTACTTCAGCCCAGTTCATGAGGGTAGAGTAACGGGACCCTTGATATGCCCACTGGCTGTGTAATCCTCCTCATTAGTTTTGCTGCACTGATTTAGCTGTACTGAGAAAAACCACAGAACTGTGTGAGGAACAAATTATCTGTAATCTAACAATCAAATCCAACGGATTTATTGCCATGGTTGAATAATGAGTAGAATAAACTGAAATTAGTTCAAAAAATATTGCTAAAGTATGTTATGGTAGGCTAAAGTATGCAAAAGGGAAGTGGCAATCAAGCAAGCTAAACTTGAAGATATTAGTACCTACCAGCAAGTTTAGAAAGCTTGTCGATAATTTCATCAAAAGCTGTAAGAGATGTTGATAGAACAAAATTACCTTCAAAGTATGTTCACAGTAAGACAATATATTTCACATACAACATGGTATAGTTTTCATAATAATATTTACCATGGCCGGATATATCAATTTGGGACTGATCCTTTCCTCTGTTGTCACTGATGGTAGCTTTGTAAATGCCAGTGGAAGCCTTGGAGAACTAGGTTGGATTTTAAAAAAAACACAATTTCAGGGATCAAATTACAAATGCAGTAGATACTACCCTCTGTAACTGTAGCACTGACCACGTAAGCTTAATTAACTTCATTACATTGAGATGGAATTGTTTTGCCTTAGTAAGTTCCGGTTCGTGCAGTATATCTAACCACATTTCCGTCCACAGTTTTTATATGTGAGTATAGGCATACCGTATTAAAAGAAAAACAGCTGTGATGGAAACAGGAAGTTTCAGTACAATTTTATAAATGCCGACAGATAATTTGTTAGTTCGACATGGTGAGATCTTTTTGTGTTGGTAAAATGTATTATGCGAGAAATGGCAGTGGAAGTGCCTTTATGAGGCAAATATTGATATAATAACCATCATATCGAAGTATCATCGCGCGTGTGTAGTCCTCCACTCCTCCAACTACGACTGGGGAAAGCATGCAGTTTATTAGGCTACAGATGAAATAAATTATGATGAACTTCACAGGGTGATGAAAGTGCAAGGTGATGAGCTTGATGCTCCTTTCCAATAAATACCAAGGGTCTTATTCTGGTGACATGAGGATTGATGCTTGACTGCCGTTTGATAAATAAAAAATATTCTCGCTCTTGTCCATAATAATCTCATCATGTTGACTAGCCTTCCGCACAGTGTACCCGCACTGTATCTGCGAGCTGTTGGCTAGTGTGCACTTGCCAAGACCAGAGTAGGCTAGCACATTTGCTATTTAACGCAACATTTGTTGTGACAGAAATATCGCTAGAGTTGAAAATGCGATGGAAATACATTGACTTCAGATTTTTATTTGGTACATAAAAACAAAACAATTATTTTCTGTGCACTACGTCATCACACACTGATTTTTATCTGCAACAAGTCAGTTTGGTGGAAACACACCTTGACGCAGATTTCTGAATATTCGCAAGAAAATCTATCGCCAATTGGATGCAAACCTAGCTATTGTCTCAATTTCATATAATATTTCTCAGCACTTCTGGCACTTACATGTGGCCACTTGATGAGCAATATCAAACAGGCTGTATGTCAAGCACAGGATCAGAGTAACCTCTTCCATCTCATAGCTTTGTGAGGACAGAGTACGACTGCAGGGTGTGAATATTTATAATGACATCATTGGAAGTGACTGCTTTCTATGACAGCAGTGTTTTACTGAGGATCGAGGCGTTCGTCTTCTTCCCCTCAGGGTTATTCCTCTTGTTTCCTATACATGACTGGTGCCCCTAGGACCTCGAGTCAAAACTCGCCTTGACTGCACCTCTTACTTCCCTTACATTACATCACAGTACATTACATTACCAAATGTTTTGGTGGCTGTTTGTGTCGTCCTATTGTGTGAACCAGTGGAGGCTGCTGAGGGGAGGACGGCTCATAATAATGGCTGGAACGGAGCGAATGGAATGGCATCAAACACATTCCGCTCCAAACATTACCACGAGCCCGTCCTCCCCAATTAAGGTGCCACCAACCTCCTGTGGTATAAAGCCTAGGAACTGACAGCATGACTGTGTAGGCGGATAATACCCTACTTCAACACAAACAAGGGTAATACAGAGTATTAGTATTAGTCTGACTAACTCTTGCTTGGCCTGACTGTGTCTAGATGTTTGTTTATGATATGGAAAGTCACAGGCCTGCTCAGAATTGTACTCAACAACAATTCTGTTCTCAATGACTGCCTTGAGATTTCCAGCAATAGAAGTCATAGGATGAATGCGCCTAATCAGACTGCAAGGTCCTTTTACTGTAGACTATCAAAATTACTGAGTTTCTAAGAAATTTCATTGTGTTTCTGCCTATTGTCCACATACAGTAACACCTGCTATTATATGTACAGGTAACTGCCAAAATAATGGAAACACTTGAGTAAATGAGGGATACAAAGTATATTGAAAGCAGGTGCTTCACACAGGTGTGGTTCCTGAGTTAATTAAGCAATTAAAAAAAATTGCATCATGCTTAAAAGCTCTGCATGGTCAATCTGACTTCTGCAGTGTCTGTACAGCACTTACCCTTAAGTCAGGGCATTCATACTTCTTGCGCTTCGCAGAGCAGAGCTGTTGTGAAGGAAGTGAGACCTCCCGCCCCCACCTACTATCAACCAATCATGTCAATGCAGAGCCCTCCGCATTGTTACAAAAAAATGGGAGGGAGCTCGATTTGGCCTCCGCAAGCCTCCGGAGGCTCCACAATTGCATCACACCCTCCATACGGAGCCTCCGGACAGCACCGCCAGATCAAGCATACATCAGCTATTAGGGTCATGTATAAAATTATTATTATTTTGGCTCCCATAGATAGAAGAAGCGATATCAGTGACTTTGAAAGAGGGGTCTCAAAGGAGAATAGGGGGTTTAAAGTGTGTGTGTGTGTGTCAGTCAACACATCTTAACGCAATTGAACACTTATGGGAGATTCTGGAGCGGCGCCTGAGACAGTGTTTTCCACCACCATGAACAAAACACCAAATTATGACATTTTTCATGGAAGAATGGTGTCGCATCCCTCCAATAGAGTTCCAGACACTTGTAGAACCTATGCCAAGGCGCATTGGAGCTGTTCTGGCAGCTCTGGTGGCTCGTGAGAGCCCAATGCCCTGTTAAAACACTTTATGTTGATGTTTCCTTTATTTTGGCAGTTACCTGTGGTTTGTTCAATCTTTAGAATGTATGTGTCTGTGTGATAAAATTACCAGGGATATAGGAAGCTTGCTCCCTGAGTCTTTGGCTCCAGATGCCAGACTGACTGGCCCTTCAGGGGTAATCTCAACGTTATCCTTGAACCAGTGCAGCGCAGTTTCCTTCTTCAGATTATCCACCTGCATTATGAAACAACAGAACCCATAGCCCACGGGGTAGGTGGACCAGCCCAAACAAAGAGGCATGCCTGCACTACAACAACATCTGTCAACGCAGGGGAACAACAACTGAGATGATTCATGCTGACTGTGTCTGTCATTTCAATTGGCAGTAGCCATCATTTTCATTTAATCTCTTGGATTAATCTAATTGAGCTTTAGGTGAATGTTTAATTACCTTGCAGACGAGCGCCACAGAGCAGTCATCCCCGACATGGACTGACAGAAACTCACTGAAGTAGGGGCCTGGAAAGAGGGCAAGAGAGAGACAGAAAGCAGGAGGGTGAGAGAGAGGGGGGCGGGGGGGATAGAGGGAGGGAGGGGGGAGAGGGGTCATGAAGGTCGGAGAGAGAGAGAGAGAGAGAGAGAGAGAGGGGCAGGGGGATAGAGGGAGGGAGGGGGGAGAGGGGTCATATGAAGGTCAGATTTCATAAATTGTTTTGCTAATAACACCCTTGTATCCTTGTAATATTAATAATATCCTTGTAACAATGAGTGGTTTATGGATTTGCAGGTGTGATAACAGTGTGTGGTTGCCATAAATAATGTGAACCATTTTGAAGGAATAAATCATTATGATATAAAATCATAATCTTAGTGTATTGGCTGTTTGAAATTCATACTTCATTTAAATATTACTTGAATTAATTTCCCAAACACTAGAGGACTGCATATTTTGAAACACTGTTACCTTCTTTCACTCTGATGTACTCGCTCCTTTGGTGTTCTGCGTCTGCGAGAGCTGCCTTGAAATCTAGAACCCAAACAAAGTGATACAGGGGATAAATCCTGGATCCCTCACGGAGCCCTACCCTGGATTAGAGTACAACCCCCACAGCAGACAGGCTCTCACCAGCTCCGATTAGCACCAGAGAGGACTGTCCTCTGGCTTTGCCATCCTCAATCTGAACAGTAAAAGTGCCCTCACTATCCTCTGTGAAATGATCCAGCACAAACTCAATGATGCCAGCCTCCACGTCGTGACTCGCATGATTTGGCTGAGAACACAAAGAAGAACACACCAAGAAAGTTTACAGCAGAGGACTCTATTGAGTGAATGTTGAGGAATCGTAATGGGCAAATCCAATAATGTGGTTATGTTGTGTAATCCAGTGTAGTCTTGGCTTAAAAGTCTATTCATGCCATGACATAGTGACGATAGAGCAGAATGTCTGGTACAAAGAGAAAACAAGTTGTCTGAGCAAGTCCATTGTGAGTTCAATTACAATGTTGTGTCCGAAACGACACACTATTTCCTGTATAATGCACTACTTTTGACCAGACGCCCATAGGGTCAGCATCCAAGGGCTCTAGCCAGGAGTTGTGCACTGTATGCCAAAAAGGTGTCTAAAGAAGTGCACTAAATAAAGAATGGGGGTCAAAAGTGCCCTATGCAGAAATAGGGTGCCATTTGGGACAAAGGCAATGTGTCGGTTTAGTGTTGACAGGAATGAGGAGGTGAGTCTTACGCTAGTCGGTGAGAGTTCATTGTTGTTAGCTAAGAACTTATAGGTGACAGCAGAGGAGATGTGCTCAGCCTGCAGCCAGAAGCGCATGCGACCGCGCTCCAGAATCTTGTAGGCCAGCTGAGTCTTTAGAGGAATCACTGTGGAAGCAGAACAAACGGAGGAACATGGTGATGCAAATAGAGGCAGGTTTTGTGATAGAAATTACATTTGTTCAAAGGAAGACATTTCCCTTCTCAAAACATAAGAATAGGCTGTGATGAACCACTGTCACGCTCGTTGATTGACGGCTCGGACCAAGGTGCAGCGTGGTAGGTGAAGATATTAATTTATTAACTGAACACAGACCAAACAACAAAATACACACGAACGTAAAGTTCTGCAGGCTACGAAGCCACTACACAAAAACAAGATCCCACAAACTAAGGTGGGAAAAAGGCTGCCTAAGTATGATCCCCAATCAGAGACAACGATAGACAGCTGCCTCTGATTGGGAACCATACCTGGCCAACAAAGAAATAGAAAACCTAGAATTCCCACCCAAATCACACCCTGACCTAACCAAATAGAGAATAAAAGGGATCTCTCAGGTCAGGGCGTGACTGTACCCCCCCAAAGGTGCGGACTCCGGCCGCAAAACCTGACTCATTAGGGGAGGGTCCGGGTGGGCATCTAGCCTCGGTGGCGGCTCCAGTGTGGGACGTAGACCCCGCTCCGCTCGCGGATCCGCCATCTTCGGTGGCGACTCTGGTGCGGGGATCGTCGCCGGAAGCTCCGGACCGTGGATCGTCGCCGGAGGAACCGCACTGTGTATCGTCGCCGGAAGCTCCGGACCGTCGGTCGTCGCTGGAAGCTCCGGGCCGTGGGTCGTCGCCGGAGGAACCGGACCGTGGGTCGTCGCCGGAGGAACCGGACCATAGGTCGTTGCCGGAGACTACGGACCGTGGGTCGTCGCCGGAGACTACGGACCGTGGGTCGTCGCAGGAGGCTCCGGGCCATGGACCTTCACTGGAGGCTTCGGGCCATGGATCATCACTGGAGGCTTCGTACCATGGATCATCACTGGAGGCTTCGGGCCATGGATCATCACTGGAGGCTTTGGGCCATGGATCATCACTGGAGCCCGGCAAGTGCGGGGCACTGGCACAGGACGCACTGGGCTGTGCGTAGAGCCGGCGCAGGATATACTGGGCCGTGGAGGCGCACTGGAGGTCTGGAGCATAGAGCTGGCACAATACGCCCTGGCTGGATGCTCACTTTAGCCCGGCAAGTGCGGGGCGCGGGCACAGGACGCACTGGGCTGTGAAGGCGCACTGGCGACACAGTGCGTAGGACCGGCGCAGGATATACTGGACCGAGGAGGCGTACTGGAGACCAGGAGCGCTGAGCCGGCGTAACCTTTCCTGGCTGCTCACTTTCGCACGGCAAGTGCGAGGAGCTGGCCCCAAGCGCACCGGGCTGTGAATGCGCACTGGAGACACAGTGCGTATCACCGCATAACAGGGTGCCTGAACGGTCCCACGCTCCTTAAAGCGAGTGCGGGGAGTTAGATCTTGTCTGAAACCTGGCTCCGCCAACCACCCCGTAAATTTTTTGGGGCTGCCTCTCGGGCTTCCGTCGTGGTCGTGACCTTCGGAGTCGCCCTTGATCCTCCCTCGCTGCCTCCATTTGCTCCCATGGAAGGCGATCCATACCTGCCCGGATCTCTTCCCACGTCCAGGATCCCTTTCCGTCCAAGATCTCCTCCCATGTCCACGATGTCTGCTCCTCCTGGCCACGCTGCTTGGTCCGTTTGTGGTGAGATCTTCTGTCATGCTCGTTGATTGGCGGCTCGGACCAAGGTGCAGCGTGGTAGGCGAACATATTAATTTATTAACTGAACACAGACCAAACAACAAAATACACACGAACGTAAAGTTCTGCAGGCTACGAAGCCACTACACAAAAACAAGATCCCACAAACTAAGGTGGGAAAAAGGCTGCCTAAGTATGATCCCCAATCAGAGACAAAGATAGACAGCTGCCTCTGATTGGGAACCATACCTGGCCAACAAAGAAATAGAAAACCTAGAATTCCCACCCAAATCACACCCTGACCTAACCAAATAGAGAATAAAAGGGATCTCTCAGGTCAGGGCGTGACAACCACATGCTAAAAAGTTGATGGAGCAAGGGCTGACCATTTTCTGGGATGAACAGTTGTCTCCTCTATGTGGTTTACATAGAATTTACCTCATCACCAGTCTGTAACAGCACACACGCCCCTACAGTATATACCCATTATTCAAGCCAAACAAAACAAAGAAAATGGACCTTTTATCCTGAGCTGTGTATTCCAAAATACTATTTGATGGGGACCAAAAATGAATGCGAGTGAAAATAAAAAACGACCTGACGAAGATCCAACTCGGATCGAAACGTGGCTTTTTTTTGTGCGTCTGATTAAATCACCATGGGAGCATACCAGAGTTGCGGACACTCCTTTCTCTTTGAAAATAGAAAAGCCATCTTAAATCATTCAGAACAAAACCTACCTGGGTGTCTGATACCATAGCTCTTTGCCAGCATTTTCTCCAGCTCTGTAATAGAGGTAAACAAGGGAGAACACATTTCAGTATTCCAATGAGCCAATATCCTCCACAGCAATTCCTTTTTACATGAAACTTCATCATACACTTCAACGGTAACAGCTGTCTGCACTGCACAAGACCAGACATGGATGTACTGTCTCACGACATCATATCATATTTATGAATAACTGTGAAAGGCGCCACTATTGTTTCTGACTCCAACATCTGCCGTATAATGACATGCTGTTGTGTTGATTTAGATGTACTAGTGCAGTATGCATACATGTATTGCCAAAATGTATTTTATACCATGATCCAGAATGAGGGTTATAAATAAGTAACCTCCTGTTTACGATCTACCCCCCAGCCAGGGCCTACCTTCAGCATGGATTTCATGGCTGGCAGAAACACCATCAGTGTTAGTTACAGCAACGGAGAAACAGCCCACATCCCCCTGGTCTGGGTGTTTGAAAATAAGCTTGGAGCTAGAAATAAATAAAGACGCACCATTGGATAATATAGAGTCCAGGAGATATTGAGCACATCAATGTGAGTATATTACGTATTTCTGAATCACTACTGAGAATTCTTGAACGTTTTGTTTTGTTAAAATATATTTTGTGAATAGCTTACGTGCTGCCCTCTGTTTTGATGACAATGCCTTTGGAGAAGTCAGTGATTTCCTTATAGAATTTCTTCCACACAAAGTGGGAGCTCTCAGTAATTTGACAACTTTCAAATGACAGGATGATGTCACCTGACTCCTCATCCACTGTGCAGGTAATCTCTTGGGCACCTTTTGGAGTGACAAAGCAAAGAGTGAAGTTGACAGGCAACAGCAATAAACATCTGGGAGTGCAAGTACAATATCCTAGAGACTGGTGTTTTGCTACAGTCATAGTAGGGTAGGTAGTACAATATCCTAGAGGTTTGGTGTTTTGCGACAGTCATCGTAGGGTAGTACAGTATCCTAGAGATTTGTGTTTTGGTACAGTCATAGTAGAGTAGTAGGTTCATTATATGTTCACAGAGTATTTCTGCATTTATGTTCTGCAGCCTATGCAGAATGAATATCTAGAGAATTGTGAGAATGACTTTTCCCTTGATCTCACCCAGCCTTGTGCTTGAGTCGCTGAGGTCCCTGCAGAATACAACACTGCCCTCTGCAGGTCGCCTGATGATCTGCACCTTCTCATTCCAACAACTTTACAGCGCTCCACATGAGTCATTTATTTGTCTCTACTCCCACGTCCTCCCAATGTTCCTTATCGACAGAAGCACAGACTACCCCTCCCTAAACCCTTCCTCATAACCCTGTCTAGTGCACTACACACCCTGTAGTATTGCTCTCCTAATCTCTCCCATTTTAATGGGAATCCTGACCCAAATAAACATTCTCTGTGGAACACACTGAACGAATGCTGCTCTACTCTAAGCCACATTGAAGAGCAGTGTCGGGAATTGTGTCTGTCCAACAGTACCTTCCACTGCTTTGGCAACCACAGGGTTAGAAGCCAAGGAAGGCTTGCCGGCACCTTCAGCGTTCGCCGCGCGCACTCTGAACACATAGGACACTCCGGCTTCCAGCCCAGTCACCTGAAAACGAGTAGGACTGTAAAATGTGCCAGACAGGCTAAAACATTGTCATAACTCAGCTATTCTAAGAATACTCTCTACCTTGTGGTAGCGGTGACTGACAGCATGGCTCTCGTTGGAACAGTGCCATTCGTCTGAGCCTTTCTTTGCAAAGTCAACAAAGTAGCCTGTGATCGGGCTGGTGCCGGTGTAGACGGGAGCCTTCCACTCCGCCACCACAGAGTCATCGCGGATCTCGCAGAAGGTCATGTCATAGGCTGGACCTGAAGTTCAGAGTGCAGTAAATGTAAAATAAATGACAGACAAGCAGTTCTTTATGTCAGACGTAACTCCGAGCACAGACGTCAGACTGTGTAATGTCTATGTGCTGCTATTTTAACGATTGATGTTGGAAGTGGCACCGTCGATAAGCTTCTGCTTGAATACACCTCTTCCATAATTCATAAAAATTATGAGATATGCATTAACGGCTTAATTATGCAACAGTATTTGCATGTAAAATTATCTTCACTTCTTTGAACTATACACACTTGATCTTTAAAATAGCAACTTGTTTCAGAGAGGTTTTCAGTACTGTACCTGGCTCGGGTATGGTCCAGGCATCACAATGGAAGGCCTTGCTGGGGGCAGAGGGGGCACCAAGACCAGCAAGACTTCCACCATAAACCATGAACTCATAGACTGCACCTGCACTCAGATGTTCAACCTGTAGTTGTGCAGCAAAGTACTAAAACAGTTACAACTAATTGAACTGCATAACAGATTCCATATGATCCTACACTTAAAAAAAAAAAGGGTTCTTCGGATGTCCCCATTAGGAGAACACTTTTTGGTTCCAGGTAAAACCTTTTTTTGTTCCAGTTAGAACCCTCTGTGGAAAGGGTTCTACATTGAACCCAAAAGGGCCTGGAACCAAAAAGGGTTCTTCAAAGAGTTCTCCTATGGGGACAGCCAAAGAACCCTTTTAGGTCCTAGATAGCACCTTTTTTGCTAAGAGTGTATGATCCTAAACATAACAGATGTGTTTACATGACTAAGGTCAATCAGATTTGTACCTTGAACAGCCGCTCTTTGATTGGTGGGATGTTGACCTCTCTCCATGTGTGTTCTCCGTGCCTATGTTTGTCGATGTAGTATTCAGTCACTGGAGAGCCACCGGAGTGGACTGGGAGCTTCCAGTTCAGAACCATGGACTCTCCATCACAGGCCAGCAGAGCAATGTCATACGGAGCAGAGGGGGTTGCTGCAAACAGAGTTTACAAGTGTCTTAAACATGTATTATGATTAGGGCCATTTTTTGGTTAATCATGTCACATGACCTAGATTGGATATATAGCAGGGTTCTCTACACTATTAGAAAAAAAGGTGCTATCTGGAAACAAAAAGGGTTCTACGGTTGTCCCCATAGAAGAACCCTTTGAAGAACCCCTTTTGGTTCCAGGTAGAACCCTTTTGGGTTCCATGTGGAACCCTTTCCACAGAGGGTTCTACATGGAACCCAAAAGAGTTCTACCTGGAACTAAAAAGGGTTCTACCTGGAACCAAAAAGGGTTCTCCTATGGGGACAGCTGCAGAACCCATTTGGGGTTATGGTTGTGAAGGCTTTCGGTAGCATGAATAATACATTAATTTTAGTGCATGATGGCGCCAACTAGCAGGTAGCCTAGTGGTTAAGCGCGCTTGGCCAGTAACCGAAAAGTCGCTGATTCGAATCCCAGAGCCAACTAGGTGAGAAATCTGCCGATGTGCCCTTGAGCAAGGCACTTAACCCTAATTGCTCCTGTAAGTCGCTCTGGATAAGAGCGTCTGCTAAATGTAAATATGATCATTGTTGTTACAAAACACTGCAATCCACATAGCTTGGAGTATCGTCAATGAGTATAAAAATGTATGCTTTGATGAAACAACCTGCAGTTGTTGGTTGAATGTCCCAAAGGAACTCTACGAACCAATGGTTTGTTTTTGACTCATACTACCTAAATTATTCACATCATTTGGACAAAGAGAAAAGTACACGACGATAGGCTAAATCCAATAGGCTCCCAGGCTGTCCTGCTGAAACGTGTGAATTGGAAGAATAACAGTCCTCTTCATTTATTGGAGACATTGATTTTATGATACAATGCTTGTGATGATCTAATCATTAGATATTCGGCAGACTTAGATGTCTTTGTGTGTCATACTTCTGGAGAGCTACCAACAGTCTTGAAGAAAGTCTTGACAACATCGCTACAATTTATTCACTGTGATCATTCACAGAGAAAAGAGCCTCCAGCTAAGCACAGTGGGTCGCTAAAATTTGGTATTTGCAATTTTCTTCTTTGTTACTGTTGCTACTGCCAGATTGAACGCAACACTTTTTCCGCCTGGTTGGAATCTCGACTAATGACAAGTATATTCTGTCTGCTGTGTGTGTGTGTGTGTGTGTGTGTGTGTGTGTGTGTGTGTGTGTGTGTGTGTGTGTGTGTGTGTGTGTGTGTGTGTGTGCGTGTGTGTGTGTGTGTGCATGTGCGTGCGTGCGTGCATGCGTGTGCATACTCACTGAGGGCAGCTTTGACAGAGAGGGGTGAGGATTCCTGTGATTCATCACTAAGACCCAGCTCATTGATGGCTTGCACACGGAAAACATACGTCTCACCAGTGGTCAAACCTTGAACCACAAACCTAATCAAAAATAGCAGATGAAGCAAAATCTCAACACATTATGATGAATGAAATCACACTTTAAATAATAAGTACATGACTGAATACATACTTGTTGTTCTTGTGAGGCTTGTGGTTAGCTGAAGCCCAGTTCTTGGAGCCTTTTACACACACATCAATGTAATATCCAATAAGGTTATTAGGCTCCTTGGGTTCAGCCCATTGGATAACAAGAGACGTGTCAGTCTCCCTTGTGGCAACCACCTGACCAGGAGCGGAGGGGACCCCTACAGTAGATGAATAAGGCATGGTTAATGTCTAAGGCAAAAGGTCAACTATCTATAACTTACTTTAATTGAAGGACTATTTTCTTTGGTGCAAAATCTATAATATGGGCTCGAATGACTTTTTGACATTTTTCCAGAGTTACTTTTTTCAAATTCTACCCTTGACTATTGCTATGCTTTGCAGGGAGTTCAACTTTTAGAGAAAATCCCTGAGAACAACCTTGTGGAGGACTCTAAGAGACGCTATAAAGCCACTGAAGAGGACCTTCTTACCGCGCAGCTCTTGAGTCTGAATGGGCTCTGTGGGCTCGGAGGCTTCACTGGTGCCGTACATGTTTGCAGCCAGCACGCGGAACAAGTACTGTTTTCCCTCAGCCAAATCAAACACGGCATAGCGAGGAGATCTCACAGGCACCTGAGTGTTCACCCTCTGCCACGCACAGCTCTCGGCCAAGGACTGTGAGGGAAGAGCCCCAAAGACAACCTTTACACCCAGTAACAACATCCACAGATACAGTCACACGTAATGGAGAGAAAGATACAGCCTCAATTCATTCCGCTGACTTCAGCCATTCATTCGATTTGAATGATGACCCTTATTGTAATTGCCCTTGATTATGCTATAGAAGTGGGATCCCAGAAAGAGGACACAAATCTAGCGATTCCACGTTGAAATGTGTCTCTATTCCATTGCTGCAAAGTTTGGATAAAAAAGAAACGTGGGAGAGCAGAGAGAGACCAACCTTCTCAATATAATACCACACTGGGGCCCGGCCGTGATAAGGGGCAGGTTTCCAGCTGAGGACAACATATGTTCGGTCAGTCTCTGAAGCACGCAACTTGGAGGGGGTTCCTGGCACCTTCTTCCCATCTATGGACACAAGATATCACAGAGAATTACTGTTTTTTGCCCAAGTGGGAGCATTCACCCGAGATGACAAATAAATCTATTGTGACAATAACAAAGGTTGTTATATCTAGCATGTCTATGCACATATATCTGTTGCTAGTATAGATGAAATTTTATATATTTATATTTTTTATTATATATATTTATTTATTATTGAATATGAATATTTAAAACATACAATCTACTTGCAGTGAAGCAGCTCAACATCTACATCACATTAGTCATCTAACAGACTCCCATCCAGAGCGACACACAGAAGTAACCAGGGTCAACAACCCGCTCAAGGGCACATCGACAGATCTCCCATAAGGTCAAAAACGGGGACCGAACCAGTGACCCATCAGCCACCGGCCCAAGTTCCCAACCGCCAGGCCACCAGCCCTCCAAGATCCACCCACAGTTCCCCAAGAGCTGCCCCTCAACCATTCGAGAACTCCCACAGTCCCCCACAGTCCCCCCCGAGAAAAATTAAATAATTCCATTATAATTATTGCTAATTATTGAGACCGAGAGCTGCTGATTAGTAGCCTAGTGGTTAAGAGCATTGGGCCAGTAACCAAGAGGTTGCTGGTTCAAATCTCTGAGCCGACTGGGTAAAATAATGTGTCAACGTGCTCTTGAGCAAGGCACTTAACCCTAATTGCTCTTGTATGTCGCTCTGGATAGGAGTGTCTGCTAAATGACTCATGTGAAATGTGACAGATGGAAGGCATGGTACAATGTGAGGGCTAATGATATGGCAATAATCTAAAGGAGGAGTTTACCCTCCTTTCAGTGTCTACTGACTCTGATGAGGTATACAGAAATAAGCCTAGAAAAGTAATAATAATAATAATAATAATAATAATAATAATAATAATATCATGCCTTCTTAGAAGAATATCAAAGATTTTTGTATCAAACTAGTTGATCCAGATTCAAGACCCTCATACATCATAGAAAACCATTTAGTACCTTCAACGTCATCGTGGTAAGTTACAACGTCAAGTTTTCCACCCAACATGACGGCTGTCAAAACAAAGATAAAAACAGAAAGTTATTTGATTCTAGAGAACACATGACCTCACAAGGTAAAGTTTAAGATGTCATCCATCACATTACCGTGGAGTCTTTCAAATTCAGTGGGGTCCAGGGCGGCGATAGGGTCAGAGATTCTGGAGGGCTTGCTGATGCCTTGTGAGTTTATCGCCCGCACACGGAAATAGTAGGAGTGGCCCTCGAACAGGCCAGGCACAGGGTATTTACAGATCTTAATGGGGGAGTCGTTGCACTGCACCCAATTTTCAGTTCCAGTTTCACATCTGAAACAAAATGAGGAAAATTGGTCCATCTCCCAAAATCCACCTCTTAAGAGGCTATTTTGGCTGATATAGCTACATTATCCTGTCACCAGCTATGAACAGTGGTGGAAGAGTATAGTTTGTAATTTACCGTTTTGTCAAATATTTTTTGATGTAAATTGATGTGATTTTTAGAAGGAAAAAAATGAAAGTATATAACGAGTGCCTGAAGTTTTTCCTGGTCAGGTCATGGCATTGGTAAAAAGTCGCTGGAAAAAGTAGCTGGAAGTATTCACATTTGATTCCCATTTCAACACCTTCCGTTACCTATCTACAAAGTATCCGATGATGGGACCTTCAGTGGTGGTGTTGGGAGGCTTCCAGGACACGATGACATAATCTCTGTTGGCATCATGGATCTTGATGTCCATAGGGGCACCTGGAGCCCCAGGCACTGGGGGAGGACCATCTGGCACAGTGACACAAAGCAAGTCACATCTTCACAATCTGTCAAAGTACATCCCGCCAGAGCCGTGTATTTAGGTCGTCACTAGTTACCACAGCTACAAATGGCTAAACCCAACCTATTTCTACAGTTTCTCTTCTTTAAATCTGACCTAACCCTAACCTTAACCACACTGCTAACCATATGCCTAACCCTAACCTTAACCACACTGCTAACCATATGCCTAACCCTAACCTTAACCACACTGCTAACCATATGCCTAACCCTAACCTTAACCACACTGCTAACCATATGACTAACCCTAACCTTAACCACACTGCTAACCATATGCCTAACCCTAACCTTAACCACACTGCTAACCATATGCCTAACCCTAACCTTAACCACCCTGCTAACCATATGCCTAATCCTAACCTTAACCACACTGCTAACCATATGCCTAACCCTAACCTTACCACACTGCTAACCATATGCCTAACCCTAACCTTAACCACACTGCTAACCATATGCCTAACCCTAACCTTAACCACACTGCTAACCATATGCCTAACCCTAACCTTAAATGAAGACCAAAAAGCACATTGTTGTATTCATTCATTTTTACGATATAGCCAATTTTGACTTTGTGGCTGTTGTAACTACTGACAACCCTGTATTTAGAGAGTTGGGCCAATGCAGTTTCTGCATTATGATTACATGACACTATACAATTCTATGGCAGCCATGTTAGCTATCCATTAACATTACATGGGGAATATTTAAGCAACGCTAAGCAATTAGAACAATGTTCAAATTTCTAAAAGTTGGCCTAACTCTCTATTCTAAAAGTTGGCCTAACTCTCTATTCTAAAAGTTGGCCTAACTCTCTATTCTAAAAGTTAGTCTAAATCTCTAAATATATGGCTTTGTATCACGCAATACCTGAAACTCCCTGTGATCCATGGACTAAATCAACTTTTTTGAAAGATATCAGAATATTACTGATACTACAGTTTTTAAAGTAGCTGCATTGCTGGTACACACTTTGGTTTTAGAAGTGGGGGGTACATAATATATACACTCCAAACAGCCTACCCAACCACTCGGAGGCGTCCGCATGGTCCTAAAGCACAACTTTGCCCCAGTTTTGTATCACATTCCAATGATAAAACTGGGGGAGGGGGACAAAAATGCAATTTCAGAAGTTGGGGGGGGGGGGGGGGGGGGGACATGTCCCCAGTGAAAGTTGCGCACCTGGCTACAATTCTCAAAGTTAGCTGTTGTTTTACCTGCACAGGAAACAAATGCACTGTGGACAGCGTCTCCCCCCTTCGTAACCATACGGAGGGTGTAGACGCCCTCATCATCCTTGTTCAGGTGAGGCAGGGTCAGCTTGGTCTCGCCTCTAGCAGACTCTATCTTCACCCACTTGGAGTCTGACAGCCGATGATCTGACACAAAAAAACAGCAACATTAAAAGTGAGGACCTGTCAGTAGCTGAAGTTACAAAAATAGCCTGGTAAATCGGCTGTTATTGAGAGCGTTATGATCGTAAGAGAAAATGTGCTACCATCTCTGAACCATTGAGCTTCAGGCTGCAGATTGGCTAGTTTGGGGCTAGCTGTCATTGTGGCAGCCAAGGTGACCGTGTCTCCCTCTGTTCCAAAGACCGAGCCAAAAGTCTCCAGGAAGGTGACGTTGATCTTGGTGTATTTGATATCCGGCAACATGGGAACTGCAGAGGACAGTAAAGGAGGACAGACTTACAGTATTATGACTCTATTTCAGTGACATCGTTATAAAGCACCATGATCACAATTATATTCTGCAACCATGCAATTACACACACTTTGAAAGAGAGAGAGTGCTCTTTGAATTATTCTGAAGATATTGTGACAGTCTGACAAAGGATCTATGTATCTCAGCATATTCATTCCACTTAAATAGCACTCTGTCTCCTATTCTCTTTTAAAAAAAGACAAAACGTGCAACTGGTGTTGTGATTAATATAGACAGGAGGAGGCTGGTGGGAGGAGCTATATGAGGACGGGCTCATTGTAAAGACTGGAATGGAATCAATGGAACGGTTTCAATAATAATAATAATAATATGCCATTTAGCAGACGCTTTTATCCAAAGCGACTTACAGTCATGCGTGCATACATTTTTGTGTATGGGTGGTCCCGGGGATTGAACCCACTACCTTGGCGTTACAAGCGCCGTGCTCTACCAGCTGAGCTACAGAGGACCACGAATCACATCAAACATATTGAAACCACACATTTGACTCCGTTCCATTCATACCATTCCAGCCATCACAATGAGCCCATCCTCTTATAGCTCCTCCCACCTGCCTCCTCTGATATAGATGCTTCAGCAGATATGTTTCTGTCAGTTCTGACGGGGTTAATCAAAAACAACATTCTTCTCATGCGTTAACAAAGCATGTTTGAATTGATATACCTTCTACAGTCTCTCACTATAGTACAAACATTGTTGTGTTAAATACATTGATTCATATGTAGGCTACATCCTTACAATTCAAGAAGAATGAGGCCCTATTCAAACAATGATTTGGATTTGACTCAACAGCGCTCAGGATCTACTCAGAGGATAAATGAAGTATCAGGGAGAATACACAGGACACTTGTGTTGAGTGGACTTACTTTTGTAAGGAAGCCATGCATAGGAAGATGAATGCCCTTCTTCTCTGAACCCTGCAGAACAGACATATTATACACACACAATCACTATGCAACAATACAATACACCATCATGTTGTATGATTTATGGTATAAATTAATTAATTACACATACACTTACCATTTAAAGGGGCAATCAGCAGTTGCTACATACATTTTTGGACTTATAAGTTAATGATATGTACCCCATTGATTCTTGAAGAATATAACATTATAACATTATGTATTTTTTTGCCTTGCCATACTTACTCTTGACAATGACAGAGGCCTGAGTAGAGACCTGTCCATGAATGTTACCAGCCACAGCAGTGTACTGCGCAGTGTCGTCAGTTTCACACCTATAGGGAGGAATACATATTGGATACTGTACATGAACAAACATCTCAGCAATACTTAAGGCTCAGACTTTTATCGATTTATTTTTGTATGTGGATTTATTTTTGTATGTAGGACTTTGATTAATTGACTAGCCACCAAACATAATTTCATGAGTTGAATTTACAGGATGGTAAACTTTCAAAGGATGATAAATTATGTTGATTATGCAAATTGCTGTTGACTAAATTAATACTGGAAAATATCAAGCCGTGATCCTCATTTGCAATTGTGTTATGGCTCTATTAATGCACAATATTGCACAGCAAATAAATACAGAACATTTAAATACTTTTCTAGCGTCGTATCTTGACCTCTAGATCCACACACTCAAGATCATGGCAGACATTATGAAATGTTTTGAACTCAGGACAGGAGAATAATGCTATGAGAAGAAAAAATTATTCAGGAGATATTCAACATGAGAGGCGCTCAAACATGAATGGCAAACATCTGAAGATTCAAGAGGGGAGAGGAGTTTGAGAATAGTGACAGATATCAGACCTTGACCCTGCACACAATATTTTAAAGCTGTCCACGCTCACTTTCCCTCTCTGTCTCCAAACCACGGTGGTTCTCTTTGAGTGTGAAAGGGTTTGAACCCGCAGAGAATACAGAGTGGTATTTCTTTATTGAGACCTTTCATTTTGATTTGGAGAGGCAAAAAGTGCTTTGAGACTTGAGAGGGGATCTAGCGCTGGTGCCCCTGACACTCTGACAGCGAGGGGATGCAGTGCTCTTTAAGGAGCTCCAGGATCCAATGACACAGAGCTCAGCACTTCGCTATGAACAGCTGACGAGTCCTCAAGATGAGGGCGGAGCCCAGGGGGGCTTTTGACTAAATTGGAAAAGCTCCACCGCTACAGCTCCACCATTCACAAGGCTCCCTTTTGTGGACACTCGTGTGTTAATTAAGTTAACATTAAACACTGTGATTGTGAGTGAAATGCAGGCCACAGTGAAAATCCGCAATGGTCCAGGAGCAAAGTCATGATATTGTATCAGATTTTTTAAATGGCCGTGATAAGCTACTGTGAGATGATAATGTTTTGTGGACAAATGGATCTAAATCATTAACAACTCAATGAGAACATGTGACTTCCCTCATTGTTTAAATCAATGAGAACATGTGACTTCCCTCATTGTTTAAATCAATGAGAACATGTGACTTCCCTCATTGTTTAAATCAATGAGAACATGTGACTTCCCTCATTGTTTAAATCAATGAGAACATGTGACTTCCCTCATTGTTTAAATCAATGAGAACATGTGACTTCCCTCATTGTTTAAATCAATGAGAACATGTGACTTCCCTCATTGTTTAAATCAATGAGAACATCCCTCATTGTCTTACCACTGATGGTATGCATCCATTGTGTCTCCTAATGTCTGAAACACATAGACTAGCTATAGCTTTTTTATTTTTTTTATCCTCCCATGAGAATAACTTACTTGGCAATCTGCAGGGTATGAATTCCGACATTGTCCTGCACATTGTATTTCATTGATGATCTGTCAATGCTGACACCATCTTTATACCTGGAGAGAAATCAAGAAGAAGTGGTAGAGGGTGAATCTTTCAGATGGATGTGGTAACATAGAATATTGTGATCAGACTGTGTATTACCAGAGAGGCCCGCTCCCAATTTACCAACTTTATTGACAACGTTTCGATCCACTGCGAATCTTCGTCAGGTCATGACCACCTTGACCTGACGAAGATCCGTGTTGGATCGCAACGCTGTCAATACAGGGATGGCTAACTCTGGACATTCCTTTGGTCTCTACTGAGTTAGGTAAATCAGCTTTTAGCTTTTCTTGCACCTTATTTGTGGAACAATCTTCAAAATGTTCTTACATTTGATGTTCTGGTGCCTCTGTGGCAGTTCAGAAAGCTGATTGAGGACCTTATTACTGATGAATGTGTTTTTTTCTTTCTGCTTGCATTTTGTATTAAAATTTTGATATGTGTATTTTCTGTAATTTCTGTAATTCATGGCTCGTCTGTAAAAGAGACCTTGGTCTCAGCATAACTCCCTAATCAAATAAAGGTTAAATAAATAAAGCTGGTAAATTGGGAGCATATTCAGTGCTGGCCTCTCTGTTATTTACAAGTCAACTTCTTTAGCCCAGCACATACGTTTTTAAGGATGTGCGTATGACCACAAACATTTCTATAGACTGTGTAATCAGTCTGTACCTTTGTCATAGCAGGTACCTAAAGGGTGAAACTACAGTTTTCACCATGTTTATCAGAGTCAAATCTCAGGAATGGAGAAAAAAAACATTGCTACAGAGACAGTGACTGGTCAAGTTGAGATATTCTGACCTCTTAGCCTCAACTGAAATCAAACACCATCAATCATCTGTAAAACATGGACCATTATTTCACTCCCATAGAGGGAATGAGATGATAGCACTAGAGGAACACAGTTATCCCTTTGTGCTACACTCTTAGAAAAAAAGGTGCTGTCTAGAACCTAAAAGGTTTCTTCGGCTGTCCCCATAGGAGAACCCTTTGAAGAACCCTTTTTGGTTCCAGGTTGAACCCTTTTGGTTCCAGGTAGAACCCTTTTGAGTTCCATGTAGAACCCTTTCCACAGAGGGTTTTACATGGAAAACAAAATAGTTCTACCTGGAACAGAACAGGGTTCTACCTGGAACCAAAAGGGGTTCTCCTATGGGGACAGCTGTAGAACACTTTTGGAACCTTTTTTTCTAAGAGTGTACACCAATACAATAACATTCGGTACCCATAGATAAACCACATAGACTGAATCCTTACCATTTCACAAGTGGGGTAGGGTAACCCTCGACCGTACAATACAGTTTCACAGGAGTTTGCTCCCAAACGGTATGGGATCGGAGCGTGGTCAGGAATTTAGGACCCCTGACCATAGACTCCTCACGAACGTACTTCTCAACCATCTTCTTCCGCACCTGAAAAAATATGAACATGTGACATTTTTACAGTATATGAAACCTCATTAAGTTTTCTTCAATATCCTTTTCACACTACTGAGTCAAGCCGAGCGGAGGCGACCTGTACTGAGCTGGCCTGGTTATCCATCCATCATACAGATGTAGGATCTTAATCTGAGCCAGTTTGCTACAACAGGAAAATAATCCTGCATCAACAAGAAATGTGAATTATTATGTGTATTATAATTAATGGACATTTTTGTAGGGGTTGATACAGTTGAAGTCGGAAGTTTACATACACTTAGGTTGGAGTCATTAAAACTAGTTTTTCAACCACTCCACAAATTTCTTGTTAACAAACTATAGTTTTGCCAAGTCGGTTAGGACATCTACTTTGTGCATGACACAAGTATTTTTTCCAACAACTGTTTACAGACAGATTATTTCACTTATAGTTCACTGTATCACAATTCCAGTGGGTCAGAAGTTTACATACACTAAGTTGACTGTGCCTTTAAACAGCTTGGAAAATTCCAGAAAATGATGGCATGGCTTTAGAAGCTTCTGATAGGCTAATTTACATCATTTGAGTCAATTGGACGTGTACCTGTGGATGTATTTCAAGGCCTACCTTCAAACTCAGTGCCTCTTTGCTTGATATCATGGGAAAATCAAAGGAAATCCTCCTTGGGAGCAATTTCCAAACGCCTGAAGGTACCACATGAATCTGTACAAACAATAGTACGCAAGTATAAACACCATGGGACCACGCAGCCGTCATACCGCTCAGGAAGGAGACGCGTTCTGTCTCCTAGAGATGAACGTACTTTGGTGCGAAAAGTGCAAATCAATCCCAGAACAACAAGGACCTTGTGAAGATGCTGGAGGAAACAGGTACAAAAGTATCTATATCCACAGTAAAACGAGTCCTATATCGACATAACCTGAAAGGCCGCTCAGCAAGGAAGAAGCTACTGCTCCAAAACCGCCATAAAAAATGCCAGACTACGGCTTGCAACTGCACATGGGGACAAAGATCGTACTTTTTGGAGAAATGTCCTCTGGTCTGATGAAACAAATATAGAACTGTTTGGCCATAATGACCATTGTTATGTTTGGAGGAAAAAGGGGAACGCTTGCAAGCCGAAGAACACCATCCCAACCGTGAAGCACGGGGGTGGCAGCATCATGCTGTGGGGGTGCTTTGCTGCAGGAGGGACTGGTGCACTTCACAAAATAGATGGCATCATGAGGAAGGAAAATGATGTGGATATATTGAAGCAACATCTCAAGACATCAGTCAGGAAGTTAAAGCTTGGTCGCAAATGGGTCTTCCAAATGGACAATGACCCCAAGCATACTTCCAAAGTTGTGGCAAAATGGCTTAAGGACAACAAAGTCAAGGTATTGGAGTGGCCATCACAAAGCCCTGACCTCAATTCTATAGAAAATTTGTGGGCAGAGCTGAAAAAGTGTGTGCGAGCAAGGAGGCCTACAAACCTGACTCAGTTACACCAGCTCTGTCAGGAGGAATGGGCCAAAATTCACCCAACTTATTGTGGGAAGCTTGTGGAAGGCTACCCGAAACGTTTGACCCAAGTTAAACAATTTAAAGGCAATGCTACCAAATACTAATTGAGTGTATGTAAACTTCTGACCCACTGGGAATGTGATGAAAGAAATAAAAGCTGAAATAAATCATTCTCTCTACTATTATTCTGACATTTCACATTCTTAAAATACAGTGGTGATCCTAACTGACCTTAGACAGGGATTTTTTACTAGGATTAAATGTCAGGAATTGTGAAAAACTGGGTTTAAATGTATTTTGGTAAGGTGTATGTAAACTTCCGACTTCAACTGTACATTTTTCGTAAGGGAAACTAAAGTCAGAAATTTCAAAGTGGAAATTACAAACTTCAGAAGTGTTTTTAAACCTCAAATACACTACAAGTTTTACATTTCCATTTGCTGGAACCGTGCTAGACAGGACAATGTGAAAATAAAATATCAGAGCCTGTACAGTACAGTTTGGCTCAATATGGTGAAAAGAGTACAAGTCTTGTGCAGATCTGATACTAAATATCTTTAATTATGGTGACATGTTGACATCTCCCAACAAGACAGATAAGGACCTTACCACTCCCTGGATTCTTGTTTCTTGTTTGTGATGATAATCGTCCTCCACCACCTCAGAGCTATATAAACAAAACAAAAACAAAGGTAAATGCTTGAAAGTGCTGGAATTCCAAGATCACTATTTGTGGGGGGTTACGAAGTCAACATAAAACAGTGTAAGCAGCTAATTATGTTCAAGCAAACAAGCATTTAGCACCAAATCTACAGTAGGTAAGGCTCACCGCAGTGAAAAGCCTCTAAGCACCACAAAAAACATCTATGTTAAGTCTAACCGTAACAACCATAACAACTAAAGGATGTGCCATACATACAGTAAGCATCTTTGCTACATTTTAATAATCAGCTCATTGCTGAGTAAATGTTGTTATAAAGCTAAAAAGCACTTAATTTGCATCAAAATCTAGAATAAAATCTAATCACATTTTATTGGTCGCATACACATATTTAGCAGATGTTATTGCGGGTGTAGCGAAATAGCTTAATGTTGACAGAATTCTGAAGGCATTTCTGTCAGATTATCTAGTGTACTATTTATTAGGGATGAATCGTCAGTCTGTGCATACCTGACAGAATAATCATAGAAGTGTCCACAGGTAATATAGATGATCAGAGATTAAATAGATGAAACTGGGTACAATCCATAGACTGTATGGTACAGATGTAAGATGTTAATTTGAGCCAGTTTGATATGGCAGGAAAATAATCCTGCAGCAACAGAAACATGTTAATTATTATGTGGATTATAATTAAAGGACATTTTTGTAGGGGTTGATACATTTTTCATAAGGGAAAATCAAGTCTGAGACACTACATGACCAAAAGTATGTGGACACCTGCTCGTCAAACATCTCATTCCAAAATCATGGGCCTTCCCCAAACAGTTGCCACAAAGTTGGAAGCACAAAATCGTCTAGAATGTTGCCACTGTGCATTGGGGCAGGTAGCGTTCTCCTGGCATCCGCCAAACACAGATTCGTCCGTCGGACTGCCAGATGGTGAAGCGTGATTCATCACTCCAGAGAACGTGTTTCCACTGCTCCAGTCCAATGGCGGCGAGCTTTACACCACTCCAGCCGACGCTTGGCATTGCGCATGGTGATCTTAGGCTTGTGTGTGACTGCTCGGCCATGGAAACCCATTTCATGAAGCTTCCGACTAATAGTTATTGTGCTGATGTTGCTTCCAGAGGTAGTTTGGAACTTGGTAGTGAGGGTTGCAACCGAGGACAGACGATTTTTACGCGCTTCAGCACTCGGCGGTCCCGTTCTGTGAGCTTGTGTTCGCGGCCTGCCAGTTCGTAGCTGAGCTGTTGTTGCTGCTAGCAATGTCCACTTCACAATAACAGCACTTACAGATGTGGTCCTCTGTAGCTCAGCTGGTAGAGCACGGTGCTTGTAACGCCAAGGTAGTGGGTTTGATCCCCGGGACCACCCATACACACAAAAAAAATTTATGCACGCATGACTGTAAGTCGCTTTGGATAAAAGCGTCTGCTAAATGGCATATTATATTATATTATATGACCGGGGCAGCTCTAGCAGGGCAGGAATTTGACGAACTGACTTGATGGAAGGTGGCATCCTATGAAATTGCCACATTGAAAGTCACTAAGCTCTTCAGTAAGGCCATTCTACTGCCAATGTTTGTCGATTGAGATTGCATGACTGTGTGCTGGATTTTATACACCTGTCAGCAAAGGGTGTGGCTGAAATAGCCTAATCCACTAATTTGAAGGGTGTCTACATACTTCCGTATATACTGTATAGTGTATTTCAAATTGGAAATTACAAACTTCAGTAGCCTTTTTAAACCTCAACTACACTACAAGTTTTAAATGTTCTTCATTGCAGGAAAGTTCTCATGTAGGGTGATCAAATTAAGATCCTACATCTGTACAAACTAATGTGAGTGTCCTGTCTCTAGTACTGACATTGATTTTTTACATTTACGTCATTTAGCAGACACTCTTATCCAGAGCGACTTACAGCAGTGAGTGCATACATTTTCTTTCTGGTGCCCCATAGGAATACGAACCCACAACCCTGGCGTTGCAAGCGCCATGCTCTACCAACGAGCCACTGTTGATCAACGCAGTAAACACAAATAAGCACACCCCTCGTTGAAGGCAAATCAGTTAAAGTTGTATTACAGAGGAAACCGTTCATGGTGTTATAATCATACCCAAACAATATGACAATTAGTGACCTTACAAGACAGTGTAGCATTTGTGTCTCCAGTTTATAGAAGAGAATGTGATCCAGTGGTGTAGTAGCAATAGGATGGCTGCATAGTTACATGAGATTAGGCAATTAGCAGGGAACCAACCTGTTAGTGGGTTACAAGTGCTCTCTCCAGGTGTAAACTTACCCACTGTTAAAAGCCCAGCTGAATACACTAACTGCCATTTGAAACTGTACACCCAGGGCCAGATATACTTTATGTATTTACACCAGTGCTTTATCCTCAGAGGGGAATAAAGACCAGAAACAAATAGTAGAGGAAAAACAGTTAACTGTCTTAATTTACATTTAATCTAAATATGCTAAATAAGCTCTACCATTTAAATGCTTTATTCGTTCTGGTAAATAGCAGGTGCACTTTATACTCCTGTGCAAAAATGTGTAAATCTGGCCACCAGTTTCCAAACCACAGGGGTTACGTTTACACAGGCAGCCTAATTCTGATATTTTTTCACTCAATGTCTTTTGACCAATCACATCATATCTTTTCACATCAGATCTTTTTCAGAGCTGATCTGATTGGTCAAAAGACCAATTAGTGGGGAAAAAAAAGATCAGAATTGGTCTTTCTGTGTAAACGTTTCAAATGAAGCATAGGACTCCTATGGGCCCATCTTCCTTACCTTGTATACTGCTTTGCTACAACCTTAGACTGTGCACTGTGGTAGTCGTGGCTGACGTGCACGTGCTTGTGTCTGGCAACTGTCGCAGCCATAGTTGATAACTTTTAATGACCTGTGATTGAAATGAGGAACACACATACTGTATTCTAATGGCTAACAGTAATTTAATGGCTACCTATAGACATATAGTAGTTGTGTGATGGCAACAAACCGTGTTAATGTAGATTTACAATGCAATGCTCTTCTGGCTTTTTGATCCACTGATGCATTTCAGGGCACAATATGCAGTACAATATGCAGTACAGTATGTCCTTCAATATCAAATTGCTTAGGTATTAGCACAATGAGACAGATATTCACTAATTTGTTCCCATTGGAAACGACAGGCTGTGGTCTATCTTGGTTCAGTAATAAAAAAAAATATTTGGTATTAGTGCCTGTGAGGTTACAGACACTTGGGGGTAAAATTACATCAAATCTGCACTGCAAGGGGAAACATTGTGCCTGTTCTGATGTAATGGAACAGTCTGAGTTATGGGTAGAAGGGATGACACCTGTTCTGATGTAATGGAACAGTCTGAGTTATGGGTAGAAGGGATGACACCTGTTCTGATGTAATGGAACAGTCTGAGTTATGGGTAGAAGGGATGACACCTGTTCTGATGTAATGGAACAGTGTGAGTTATGGGTAGAAGAGATGGCCCCTGTTCTGATGTAATGGAACAGTCTGAGTTATGGGTAGAAGAGATGGCCCCTGTTCTGATGTAATGGAACAGTCTGAGTTATGGGTAGAAGAGATGGCCCCTGTTCTGATGTAATGGAACAGTCTGAGTTATGGGTAGAAGAGATGGCCCCTGTTCTGATGTAATGGAACAGTCTAAGTTATGGGTAAAAGAGATGGCCCCTGTTCTGATGTAATGGAACAGTCTGAGTTATGGGTAAAAGAGATGGACCCTGTTCTGATGTAATGGAACAGTCTGAGTTATGGGTAAAAGAGATGGCCAAATGAAAAGAAAATTCATTGGGGGGGTTTAAAATTAGAGGGTTCCATGAATGTTCAGTTATTACCAGGTATTCTCACAATACCGCAATCTGAACGTCATTAAGACACCTGTCACATATGAAGGGGTTCAATGTATATTTCACAAATGATATGGTGATAAATAAAATCATACAAACCCATGAAGCCTACTGCTGTAGCAGATTGAATATTAACAGACACAAGAACAATCTGAGCACCTGCAAATTGTTTAAGAATTAGCTTTTTGACTATGTCTATCCTTTTCTATCCTATTCCCTACATTCATGTATCTGCCCGGTTGAGCTAATTTATTGGTAGCCTACTTCTCAAGTGTAAAGCAAAAGTGCTTAACATCAGACATTCAGCCACCAGAAATATCAACCCCTTGACACTTGAACTCCTGAGCCACATTTCTCTGCATTTAGAAGACATACAGTCAGCTTTTTTTTTAAAATAGAATTCGTTTTAAAAGTCCATATAAACTGATGCATCCATTTATCAACATGCCATGAGAAGAACATTCTAAGATCAATCATATAAGGCCAAAAAAATATTTAAATGAATACTGCTAGATAATATCCGTATATGTCACGTCAAGATCTAGGCAGTAGGCACTAATTAGGTAATTGGACTAATACATCTCCACATTCCGATATAACCAAGTCCCAAGCGTACATTCCTCAAATCAACACCTGTCGGAAAAAACCATGAATCTGTAAGGGAAGGAAATAATAGGCCTGACTTACCCCAAGAGATTACACGAGCGGAAAGCAGAGGTGGGTCAGCCGTAACCCGTTTGGAAGTCACTCGCTGATGAAAACAAAAAATTACCCACACAGAGTGCAGCAACTCTCGCATCCCATTTATGGATAGGCATATGACTATATATAGCTTTTACATCAACCCTCAACATAATTTCTTACTTCCAGTAGGCTAGGCTACATATCATGCAGTGTCGGTGCTTCTTTTCTCACTGAATATGTTATAAAACATTTATTCCAGTTTGCAAGATTTACTAAGTTTGTCCTGAGCACAATGTGTCCAGTTTACTTCATTTAAATAATGTCATACTTCTTTCAACTTCTATCCTCTATTTCATGAATAGGCCTACCCTACAATTTTAAGAATTTCAAATCATTTTTATATATTTTTAATCATTATTTTAGCGTTAGACTATCTCAATGTAAATATTGCTTTGCTCTATGCTCAACTGAAGGAACCAATACGGATTCTTAAGACGAGCCCCTGAAACCTGAACTGTAGCCAGCACTATTTTTAACGGGAGATTGGGTTAAGAGACAGCAGTATGTATGCCTAGGCTAGGCTATTCCTGCCAATAGCCCCAGAGCAGAGGCAATGTCATACAGCATGTTAACTTTATGCAAATATTAGTCGTCTATTAGTTAGCTTAAATGAAAACAATAACGGCTCATTCATAGCCTTCTGTCATAAATAACATTGTAAAAAAAAAAAAATCCAAAGCCTGCCCATTTGTTATAGAAATATTAAAGAGATAAATGCAATTGCAATAAACATTAAAACGTTTTTATTTATAGTTTTTAATTAAACTGTGTGGCCCAGTGGAATGTCATGATAGAAGTCTGTGTTCAATATTTGTGGCGAGTCTGCGCGCCTGTGGGGTATAGATGGGTCATGGAATACAGTTTATTTCAAATTGACATCTAAGGTTTACTTTTTCTTTTTGTTTTTAGCTAACCCTAACCCCTTTCCTAACCTTAACATAATTATCCTAACCTGATACGTTAATTATCATAACCTGCTGCGTAAATTATCTTAAAGAGCTACGAAAAGTCAATTCTGGTAAATTCTGACATAAACTGTATCTAGTCAAAACTGCATAAACTGCCTGCTACAAAGACATTAGATAAAGGAGGAGTTCTCACATGATCTTGCGTGACTTCAATTTTCTGCACGAGACTGTGCACGGGACACACTTTTTTCACGCCACTTCGATACGAAGTTATTTTTGTAGCAGGGGTAGGAGAGCATTTTCGCTAACCCTAACCCTTTCCCTAACCTTAACGTAAGTCTACTAAACTGCTACGTGAATGCCTCTTAAATTCTCCTAACCTGCTACGAAAAAGTCATTTCGGTATCGAAGTGGCGTGAAACGAGTGTTCCTCCTGACCGGAGACCGTGAGGCTCAGCTCTGTTGCAGGAAAACAATTTCACACGTTCATTATTGTAGGCTACTACCAGAGACTATAGAGAAAGCGAGACATCCACTCATTATCTTGGGCTGAGGGGGTGCCCAGGATCTCACTGGCAAAAAAAGTCTGGGCGGGGCGGGTGGGAGAGCGGGGAAGGGACAATAAGTAGACCAGAGCCATTGGTCTCATGCGGGAAAGCATGCTCACGTGAGAGAGGGAACGCCTACTTACAAGACAGGAACCGTGACCATGTTTTCCAATGGTAAACTGCCTGAGTAAGACATATTTGCTACTACCAGACGTCGAATCGGAGTTGCTATCTCATTTTAAACCATAAATGATACTAGTGGAATGTCATATTGCTAATCTATAAAACAACAATATATAAGTTTCTTCATCTAAATGGTCCTTCCAAACTTCTAGTTGTGTATATGCCAGGTTACTGTAGCAGGGTTTTATATCGATCCACAGGAACAAAAGAACAAAACACAGGTAAGAACTTGTTGTGTCACTCGTAGGCTATATTGAAAACGTACCCACATAGTCTAGGCTACGTGTAGCCAGCCAGGCCCAGTTAATACTGGAGACAGTGTTTGTGAAATAATGACAGTAACCCATAGCCTTCTATTGTGCAAACTCAATTTGCGATCCCCCACAACGACGGTTTAGGATTACAGAGTTGCGAAACGGGCTGGATTATTTGATTTCACAGCAAACTGCTGCGCTGATGAGCGCAAATATCAGCTCAATAGTATTTGGCAAGCATCAAAATAAGAATCACACCATTTAAACCACTGTAGCCTATAACTGTTTATTACATATGCTATATAGACTAAAATTAAACCATTGTTAATGGAATACTTTATACTATTCCAGGTATTCCTTAAAGAGGTAGGGTTTCAAGTGTCTCCGGAAGGTGGTCCGGATTGGTCCAAATTGTGATGTAGATGTGATGGGAAACGCATTTCCTGCAATTCTGCACAGTTTGACCTGATTTATCGTGACTCTCTTGAGGGGTATTTTGAGGGGTATATGGAGGGGTATTCTGAAAACACAGTATAAGTGGAAGGCAAATATTAAGACGTAAAATATGAAGACTGAGTTGTATTATAATGATCCACACACACATATTTATTTATATTAAGGAGAAACAAAAGTTGAAGACTGAATTTTATTATAGTTGGAGTTTGCCTACCTTATGCCCAGTCCACACACACACACACACACACACACACACACACACACACACACACACACACATATATACATACACTACCGTTCAAAAGTTTGGGGTCACATTGAAATGTCCATGTTTTCCATGAAAACATACATGAAATGAGTTTGAATAGGAAATATAGCAAAATGAATAGGAAATGTAGTCATTGACAAGGTTAAAAATAATGATTTTTAATTGAAATAATAATTGTGTCCTTCAAACTTTGCTTTCGTCAAAGAATCCTCCATTTGCAGCAATTACAGCCTTGCAGACCTTTGGCATTCTAGTTGTCAATTTGTTGAGGTAATCTGAAGAGATTTCACCCCATGCTTCCTGAAGCACCTCCCACAAGTTGGATTGGCTTGATGGGCACTTATTACGTTCCATACGGTCAAGCTGCTCCCACAACAGCTCAATAGGGTTGAGATCCGGTGACTGTGCTGGCCACTCCATTATAGACAGAATACCAGCTGACTGCTTCTTCCCTAAATAGTTATTGCATAGTTTGGAGCTGTGCTTTGGGTCATTGTCCTGTTGTAGGAGGAAATTGGCTCCAATCAAGCGTCGTCCACAGGGTATGGCATGGCGTTGCAAAATGGAGTGATAGCCTTCCTTCTTCAAGATCCCTTTTACCCTGTACAAATCTCCCACTTTACCACCACCAAAGCACCCCCAGACCATCACATTGCCTCCACCATGCTTGACAGATGGCATCAAGCACTCCTCCAGCATCGTTTCATTTTGTCTGCGTCTCAAAATGTTCTTTTTTGTGATCCGAACACCTCAAACTTTGATTCGTCTGTCCATAACACTTTTTTTCCCCAATCTTCCTCTGTCCAGTGTCTGTGTTCTTTTGCCCATCTTAATCTTTTATTTTTATTGGCCAGTCTGAGATATGGCTTTTTCTTTGCAACTCTGCCTAGAAGGTCAGCATCCCGGAGTCGCCTCTTCACTGTTGACGTTGACACTGGTGTTTTGCGGGTACTATTTAATGAAGCTGCCAGTTGAGGACCTGTGAGGCGTGTGTTTCTCAAACTAGACACTCTAATGTATTTGTCCTCTTGCTCAGTTGTGCACCGGGGCCTCCCACTCCTCTTTCTATTCTGTTTAGAGCCAGTTTGCACTGTTCTGTGACGGGAGTAGTACACAGCCTTGTACGAGATCTTCAGTTTCTTTGCAATTTCTCGCATGGAATAGCCTTCATTTCTCAGAACAAGAATAGACTGACAAGTTTCAGAAGAAAGTTCTTTGTTTCTGGCCATTTTTAGCCTGTAATCGAATCCACAATTGCTGATGCTCCAGATACTCAACAAGTCTCAAGAAGGCCAGTTTTATTGCTTCTTTAATCAGCACAACAGTTTTCAGCTGTGCTAACATAATTGCAAAAGGGTTTTCTAATGATCAATTCGCCTTTTAAAATGATAAACTTGGATTAGCAAACACAACGTGCCATTGGAACACAGGACTGATGGTTGCTGATAATGGGCCTCTGTACACCTATGTAGATATTCCATTAACAATCAGCCGTTTCCAGCTACAATAGCCATTAACAATGTCTACACTGTATTTCTGATCAATTTGATGTTATTTTAACGGACAAAAAATTTGCTTTTCTTTCGAAAACAAGGACATTTCTAAGTGACCCCAAACTTTTGAACGGTAGTGTATATATATACACTACCAGTCAAAAGTTTGGACACACCTACTCATTCAAGGGTTTTTCTTTATTTTTACAATTTTTTACATTGTAGAATAATAGTGAAGATATCAAAACTATGAAATAACACATATGGAATCACAAAAAAAGTGTTAAACAAACAAGTATATTTTATATTTGAGAATCTTCAAATAGCCACCCTTTGCCTTGATGACAGCTTTGCACACTCTTGGCATTCTCTCAACCAACATCACCTGGAATGCTTTTCCAACAGTCTTGAAGGAGTTCCCACATATGCTGATCACTTGTTGGCTGCTTTTCCTTCACTCTGCGGTCCAACTCATCCCAAACCATCTCAATTGGGTTGAGGTCGGGGGATTGTGGAGGCCAGGTCATCTGATGCAGCATTCCATCACTCTCCTTCTTGGTAAAATAGTCCTTACACAGCCTGGAAGTGTGTTGGGTCATTGTCCTGTTGAAAAACTAATGATAGTCCCACTAAGCCCAAACCTAATGGGATGGCGTATCGCTGCAGAATGCTGTGGTAGCCATGCTGGTTAAGTGTGCCTTGAATTCTAAATAAATCACAAAGAGTGTCACCAGCAAGCACCCCCACACCATAACACCTCCTCCTCCATGCTTTACGGTGGGAAATACACATGCGGAGATCATCCATTCACCCACACCGCGTCTCACAAAGACACGGCGGTTGGAACCCAAAATCTCCAATTTGGCTCAAGACCAAAGGACACATTTCCACCGGTCTAATGTCCATTGCTTGTGTTTCTTGGCCCAAGCAGGTCTCTTCTTCTTATTGGTGTCCTTTAGTAGTGTTTTTTTTTTGCAGCAATTCGACCATGAATGCCTGATTCACACAGTCCCCTCCGAACAGTTGATGTTGAGATGTGTATCTTACTTGAACGCCTCCAGAAGGCGAGGTCAGTACAGGTGCATCAAAGCTGGGACAGAAAGAATGAAAAACAGCTTCTATCTCAAGGCCATCACTGTTAAATAGCCATCACTAGCACATTAGAGGCTATTGAAATCACTGGCCACTTTAAGAAATGGAACACTAGTCACTTTAATAATGTTTACATATCTTGCACTACTCATCTCATATGTATATACTGTATTCTATAATATTCTACTGTATCTTAGTCCATGCCGCTCTGTCATTGCTTGTTCATATATGTACAGTGCTATGAAAAAGTATTTGCCCCCTTTCTAATTTTCTCTACTTCTGCATATTTGTGATACTGAATGTTATCAGATCTTCAACCAAAACCTAATATTAGATAAAGGGAACATAAGTGAACAAATAACACAACAATTACATATTTATTTCATTTATTCATAAACAAAGTCATGCCACACCCAATTCCGCTGTGTGAAAAAGTAATTGCCCCCTTACACTCAATAACTGGTTGTGCCACCTTTAGCTGCAATGACTCCAACCAAATGCTTCCTGTAGTTGTTGATCAGTCTCTCACGTCGCTGTGGAGGAATTTTGGCCCTCTCTTCCATGCAGAACTGCTTTAACTCAGTGACGTGTGGGTTGTCAAGCATGACAGAGCTTGAGAGGATCTGCAGAGAAGAATGGGAGAAACTCCCCAAATACATAGGTGCCAAGCTTGTAGTGTCATACCCAAGAAGATGCGAGGATGTAATCGCTGCCAAAGGTGCTTCAACAAAGTACTGAGTAAAGGGTCTGAAAACGTATGTAAATTTGATATTTCAGTTTTTTATTTTTAATAAATGAGCCAACATTTCAAAAAATCAGTTTTTGATTTGTCGTTGTGGGGTATTGCGTGTAGATTGATGAGGGGAAAAAACAATTTAATCCATTTTAGAATAAGGCTTTAACAAAATGTGGAAAAAGTCAAGGGGTCTGAATACTTTCCGAATGCACTGTGTATATATATATATATATATAAATAGTAATTGAGTGTGAACATAACATGGACAAAGACTGACACTTATGTTGTTGAATGTTGATCTGTCAGCATCCACTCTGTCATTCAGAAAGTTTAACTTTTAATGACAGAAGAGCAGACGACGAAGTGGTACTGTTTTTGTGCGTTCGTTTTAGCCTGCCAGGAGTGCCGGGTCAGCTCCATTTGCGTTTACATCTCTTTAAACTCGATGGGGCAGCCCAAAATATTATTCCAGCCAACGGGAAAACCAGAAAGAACGCACCATCTTTTCCTCTTCAATCTGAGCCAGATTAACAGATTAACAGATTAACTGCACTTTGACCTAATGAGAATGGGGGGGACTATGGGTGGCAAATCATATTTCAGGGGGGGTTGGTGCTCCCCCGGGCCAGACTAACGCATTTGGGGCCTCGGGGCACCTACCTCCAGGGGGCTCAGCTTTTGCTGCAATTCTACACATTTTGCCATACCAACTCTGTGACATCTTTACAGCTCTGCTAACGTCTCTGAAATAGACCATCACTAATCAGTCAATCCACAAGCAGAGGGGCAGAGAGAAAAATAATTATTGATTCAAGACATTTAAACTTTTCATTTTTGCTGAATTTCAAAAAAAATCTAAAAACATAATTCCACTTTGACATTATGGAGTATTGTGTGTAGATCAGTGACACAAAGTCTACATTTAATCCATTTTAAATTCAGGCTGTAAAACAACAAGATGTGGAAAAAGTCAAGTGGTGTGAATACTTTCTGAAGACATTGTATATACACTATTTTTTAATTTTATTTAACCTTTATTTAACTAGGCAAGTCAGTTAAGAACAAATTCTTATTTACAATGACGGCCTACAAAAGTATGTGGACACCCCTCAAATTAGTGGATTTGGCTATATCAGCCACACCCGTTGCTGACAGGTGTATACAATAAAGTACACAGCCATGCAATCTCCATAGACAAACATTGGCAGTAGAAGGGCCCATAATGAAGAGCTAAGTGACTTTCAACGTGGCACCGTCATAGGACGCCACCTTTCCAACAACTCAGTTCGTCAAATTTCTGCCCAGCTAGAACTGCCCCAGTCAACTGTAAGTGCTGTTATTGTGAAGTGGAAATGTCTAGGAGCAACAACGGCTCAGCCGCGAAGTGGTAGGCCACACAAGCTCACAGAATGGGACCGCCAAGTGCTGAAGCGCGTAGCGTAAAAAATCATTTGTCCTCGATTGCAACCCTCACTACAGAGTTCCAAACTGCCTCTGGAAGCAATGTCAGCACAATAACTGTTTGTCAAGAGCTTCATGAAATGGGTTTCCATGGCCGAGCAGCCGCACACAAGCCTAAGATCACCATGCCAATGCCAAGCGTCGGCTGGAGTGGTGTAAAGGTCGCCGCTATTTGACTCTGGAGCAGTGGAAATGCGTTCTCTGGAGTGATGAATCATGCTTCACCATCTGGCAGTCCGACGGACGAATCTGGGTTTGGCGGATGCCAGGAGAACGTTACCTGCCCCAATGCATAGTGCCAACATTCTAGACGATTCTGTGCTTCCAACTTTGTGGCAACTGTTTGGTGGAGGAGGAATAATGGTCTGGGGCTGTTTTTCATGGTTCGGGCTAGGCCCCTAGTTCCAGTGAAGGGAAATCTTAACACTACAGCATACAATGACATTCTAGACAATTCTGTGCTTCCAACTTTGTAGCAACAGTTTGGGGAAGGCCCTTTCCTGTTTCAGCATGACAATGCCCCCGTGCACAAAGCGAGGTGCATACACAAATGGTTTGTCGAGATCGGTGTGGAAGAACTTGACTGGCCTTCAGGAGGCCTGACCTCAACCCCATCGAACACCTTTGGGATGAATTGGAACACCGACTGCGAGCCAGGCCTAATCACCCAACATCAGTGCCACGACCTCACTAATGCTCTTGTGGCTGAATGGAAGCAAGTCCCTGCAACAATGTTCCAACATCTAGTGGAAAGCCTTCCCAGAAGAGTGGAGGCTGTTATAGCAGCAAAGAGGGGACCCATGATTTTGGAATGAGAGGTTTTATTTTAAAGAAATGATTGTGGGGGACGAATCGACCTGTTCTGAATATCCCCTGTGGTAATCGCCTATGATTTAACTGCCATATGCAATTTAAGGTTTAGGCCTTATAATTGTAACAATTAGCCTACCAACAAATATTAGGCCTACAGATCAAATCAATCCAGCTATGGTCCAAAATCTACCTATCCTAATGGTATGTTTTCTTTGTTTCAGTGTGAACATGAAATCATTGGCACTTGTTGTCCTGCTGTGCCTTGGCTGCAGTCTGATGTCTTCCTCATTCATACTCGCGTCACCGTAAGTACTGGTAGGCCTATCTGTCTCTGCATCAAGCCCTTCATTCCAAAGTAAGTAGCCTTTTTTGAGACACAACAGCCCATAGGGCAGCGTGAGGCAGCTAGAGCATTTGTCTTGACATGCCCGAGGGATCAAACCCCCAACCTTCCAAACCCAGGACACTCTAACCACAAGGCAACTGAGTTGGTGTCATTCCATAGCAGGCCTCAATGCAAGTTAAAGGCCATTAAATGAGTGAGGCACTTTGATCATGCTAATGTTACTATTTTATTGAATGTAACTCTGCTTTATTTCAGGCATATGTGGAGTAAGCTGATCCTGACTCAACACTGGCCGAGCACATTTTGCAGCGTAAGCTACTTTATGGTTTCACAGCATAGTAAACTCTACGTATCATGTGTTGATCTGATTGTATGATTGATACGGTGGTCATAAATTGCCAGATTTTCCACCTTGTATGACAAAATAAACATTTTGATTTGCAGATGGAACACTGTGATCCCAAATTTGACTACTGGACTTTGCATGGACTGTGGTAAGGATGACTTAATACAATTCAGTAAAAAATAAAGCTAAGAAGATGCTACCTTTTCCCCCAACCCAATCATCATGGACTTTATGGTTTCTGAGTTTGAGTGACAACATAACACAGAGTCCACGACAGTTTATCTTTGTACACATTTGACCAATGTCTGTGTTTTACAGGCCAGATAAAGGCCAGGAATGCAATTCTTCTTGGCACTTCAATGTAACTCTAATCCAGGTATGTTCTGCTGGGGGAAAAAACACATATATATAGATAGATAGATAGATAGATAGATAGATAGATAGATAGATAGATAGATAGATAGATATACAGTTGAAGTCGGAAGTCTACGTACACTTAGGTTGGAGTTATTAAAACTTGTTTTTCAACCACTCCACAAATTTCTTGTTAACAAACTATAGTTTTGGCAAGTCGGTTAGGACATCTACTTTGTGCATGACACAAGTAATTTTTCCAACAATTGTTTACAGACAGATTATTTCACTTATAATTCACTGTATCACAATTCCAGTGGGTCAGAAGTTTACATACACTAAATTGACTGTGCCTTTAAGCAGCTTGGAAAATTCCAGAAAATGATGTCATGGCTTTAGAAGCTTCTGATAGGCTAATTTACATCATTTGAGTCAATTGGACGTGTACCTGTGGATGTATTTCAAGGCCTACCTTCAAACTCAGTGCCTCTTTGCTGTCATGGGAAAATCTAAATAAATCAGCTAAGACTTCAGAAAAAAAATAGTAGACCACAAGTCTGGTTCATCCTTGGGAGCAATTTCCAAATGCCTGAAGGTACCAGGTTCATCTGTACAAACAATAGTACGCAAGTATAAACACCATGGGACCACGCAGCCGTCATACCGCTCAGGAAGGAGACGCATTCTGTCTCCTAGGGATGAACGTACTTTGGTGCGAAAAGTGCAAATCAATCCCAGAGCAACAGCAAAGGATCTTGTGAAGATGCTGGAGGAAACAGGTACAAAAGTATCTATCTATATCCACAGTAAAACAAGTCCTATATCGACATAACCTGAAAGGCTGCTCAGCAAGGAAGAAGACACTGCTCCAAAACCGCCATAAAAAAGCCAGACTATGGTTTGCAACTGCACATGGGGACAAAGATCGTACTTTTGGAGAAATGTCCTCTGGTCTGATGAAACAAATATAGAACTGTTTGGCCATAATGACCATTGTTATGTTTGGAGGAAAAAGGGGGTGGCTTGCAAGCCGAAGAACACCATCCCAACCGTGAAGCACGGGGGTGGCAGCATCATGCTGTGGGGGTGCTTTGCTGCAGGAGGGACTGGTGCACTTCACAAAATAGATGGCATCATGAGGAAGGAAAATTATGTGGATATATTGAAGCAACATCTCAAGACATCAGTCAGGAAGTTAAAGCTTGGTCGCAAATGGGTCTTCCAAATGGACAATGTCCCCAAGCATACTTCCAAAGTTGTGGCAAAATGGCTTAAGGACAACAAAGTCAAGGTATTGGAGTGGCCATCACAAAGCCCTGACCTCAAACCTATAGAAAATGTGTGGCAGAACTGAAAAAGCGTGTGCGAGCAAGGAGGCCTACAAACCTGACTGTTACACCAGCTCTGTCAGGAGGAATGGGCCAAAATTCACCTAACTTATTGTGGGAAGCTTGTGGAAGGCTACCCGAAACATTTGACCCAAGTTAAACAATTTAAAGGCAATGCTACCAAATACTAATTGAGTGTATGTAAACTTCTGACCCACTGGGAATGTGATGAAAGAAATAAAAGCTGAAATAAATCATTCTCTCTACTATTATTCTGACATTTCACATTCTTAAAATAAAGTGGTGATCCTAACTGACCTAAGACAGGGAATTTTTACTAGGATTAAATGTAAGGAATGGTGAAAAAACTGAGTTTAAATGTATTTGGCTAAGGTGTATGTAAACTTCCGACTTCAACTGTATATATATATAATAGAAAAGGCAGATTTAGCTTATTCGTGACAATAGAACAAACATTTTGAGGGTACAAGTCAAGTGTTTATAGTTTTAAAAATTATGAGAAATATTTGATCATGACTATGTTTTACAGGACCTACTTCCAGAGATGCAGAAGTGGTGGCCAGATCTTAAAATGCCAGCATCCTCTGGATTCTGGTCTGCCCTAATTTTATATTTTGTAAAAATACTTTACTCCAGGTCATTGTTATATTTTCAGGTAAGAAGATTTTTCTAAACAAATGTTAGCGTGTTTGATTTTCTATTTACAGGAAATATGAATGGCAAAAACATGGAACATGTGCTGCAAAAGCTGAGTCCCTAAACAGTCAACACAAATACTTTGGCAAAGTCCTGGAGCTGTATCACAAGTTAGACCTTGATGGGTACGTGTACTGAATTAACAATAGAGTATTCTCATGAAACATATGTGTTAATATATGGTCTTAATACCCTGAAACATGATTTATGTTCCTACTAGTTATTTATCAATTATTTGTTTGTCTTCAGAGTGATGAAGAAATTCAACATTGTGCCCTCAGAGACTTACTACACTGTAAGTACATCACTATTACTACATTACCAAGGACAATGGCATTTTGCGCTGATTAAATTGTTGTGTGTTTAAAGTTAGACTTCAAGCACACCAAGTATTTCTGCATCATATCAAGAAACACACTATACTGTGTTAAGGGAAACCCTGTGTTATGGGAAACCCTGTGCTATGGGAAACCCTGTGCTATGGGAAACCCTGTGCTATGGGAAACCCTGTGTTATGGTAAACCCTGTGTTATGGGAAACCCTGTGCTATGGGAAACCCTGTGCTATGGGAAACCCTGTATTAAGGGAAACCCTGTGCTATGGGAAACCCTGTGCTATGGGAAACCCTGTGTTATGGTAAACCCTGTGTTATGGGAAACCCTGTGCTATGCGAAACCCTGTGCTATGGGAAACCCTGTATTAAGGGAAACCCTGTGCTATGGGAAACCATGTGCTATGGGAAACCATGTGCTATGGGAAACCCTGTGCTATGGGAAACCCTGTGCTATGGGAAACCCTGTGCTATGGGAAACCCTGTGCTATGGGAAACCCTGTATTAAGGGAAACCCTGTGCTATGGGAAACCATGTGCTATGGGAAACCCTGTGCTATGGGAAAAACTGTGCTATGGGAAACCCTGTGCTATGGGAAACCCTGTATTAAGGGAAACCCTGTGCTATGGGAAACCATGTGCTATGGGAAACCCTGTGCTATGGGAAACCCTGTGTTATGGTAAACCCTGTGCTATGGGAAACCCTGTGTTAAGGGAACCCCTGTGTTAAGGGAACCCCTGTGTTAAGGGAACCCCTGTGTTAAGGGAAAACCTGTGCTATGGGAAACCCTGTGCTATGGGAAACCCGCCATCGTTTTTAAATGTCTGAATATATTACTTACTGTTCCTGTTTGCAGATGTAGGATCTTGATTTGAGCCAGTTTGCTACAGCAGGAAAATAATCCTGCAGCAACAGGAAATGTGAATTATTATGTGTATTATAATTAATGGACATTTCTGTAGGGGTTGATACATTTTTTGTAACGGAAACTCAAGTGAGAAATTTCAAAGTGGAAATTACAGCCTTTTTAAACCTCAAATGCACTACACATTTTGAAGTTCCTGCAACAGGGTGATTAAGATCTTACATCTGTACTTAGCTACTGTCAGCAAAATGACTCAGATGTGTGCATGCATCCAATAGCATGTGATGAATACTCATGGTTAAGTTTCCTACATTTGTGTTTTTAGTTTGACCACATCGAAGGAATCATTCTCAACTTCTACAGTGTGAAACCAAAGATTCAGTGTATTCATCCAGAGGTATCATGTTTTTTATATTTTGTATTTTGGTCAAATGTAAACTTAAGCACAACTAGTTATTGAATTTGCCTACAGGTTTTCTTTGAAGAGTAGAGGATAACGTGGATTGCGTACAATTTTGTATTTAGAATACATTTCCTTAATCATTCTACATGAATAGTAGTTGTTACACACAACTATATTATAAAATCATGAATCCTAACCCTAAATCTAGAACGTATCATTAAGTTATTTCTTGTTCACAGGGAGGGAAGGTGCAAATCTTGGGCCAGATCGAGATCTGCTTCGACTCAGACTTCCAACTTGCCAACTGTGAGCATTCTGAGACAGACACTCTGAACCTAACTGACTTCCTGAATGTTAAGGGTACAGAGTTTAGTGTATGTGACCATGCCACACCAGTCTACTACCCTCCCCTGAAGGGGAAGCCATCAATGTAGTGGCTAGTGAGGTCTGGTTACTCTATAACCAGTCATATCTCACATGGAACATACACTCTTAGAAAAAAGGGTTCCAAAACGGTTCTTCGGCTGTCCCCATTGGAGAACCCTTTTTGGTTCCAGGTATAACCCTTTTGGGTTCCAAAAGGGTTGTACCTGCAACCAAAAAGGGGTTCTTCAAAGGGTTCTCCTATGGGGACAGCCGAAGAACCATTTAAGGTTCTAGATAGCACCTTTCTTTCTAAGTGTGTAGATACAAGGTTCTACTAAGTGTGAGTTCGCTCAGAAATACTATCTGAAAAACACAACTGTTTCGAATTGAATTTGTCTACTACTATTTTGATGTGTTTTCTGGCATTCAAACTTAAAATTGTACTGCTTGATTATTAGAAACAGGTTGATCATGTTTTAACTCAGGGAATAAATCAGCTTTTAAAGATAACACTACTGAAGGCCTATACTTCCTATATAATGCTTTACAAATCATTTATACGCAAATAGCATACTAAGGGTGATATAAGGTCCTTAAATCTTGTACTTTGCCAAAAGTGTCATAAAAAAATGTAGAAAATATGTTTTATTGTCACATACCTCAAATAGGTGCAGTGAAATGTGTTGTTTTACAGGGTCAGCCATAGTCCGATTTTTCACCTTGTCGGCTCAGGTATTCGAACCAGCGACCTTTCTATTACTGGCCCAACACTAATAATAACCCTAATGCCACCTGTAATATAGTATTACATTTGCTTTTAAATGATTTGTGAGTCATTTAAATAGGCTTTCAATTGTTTAAAGTATGGTCCTACTTTTTGTTAAACATAAAATCTAAAGTTTGATGCACAGTTTATGAAGACGTCTGTTCACTGCCTTCATTACTCTAGTCTTGAAATATGTTTTGATCTAAAAAGTGTTGAGTAATTAAGAATGTGCATGGTGGTGGTTAAAATGCATTGGTTTACATTAGTAATGCCATCTCCATAATTTTAGGGAATGATGATCATGATTTAATCAGAAAGACCTATTGTATCTGTAACTGATGTCATTTCTGCTGTTTAGTTAGTTTGATTTCGTTTTAGTTGTGGGATAAGCTTTGATTTTTAAATGGTGGCCTTATTTGGTATGGTTCCGATCCTCTGTAATATTTACGCACAATCAATTAAAGTAATTTTTCAATTGCAGCAGTTGTACATACTATTTACCCCTGCCATTAGCTTTTTACTGAATCCAGGTAACTAGTGGAATGTGTAAATATGCACATTCAACTACATGCCACAAGAGGTCAGGAAACGTCTACACAACGCCAATGGCCAACAGAGGCAGTAGAGCTGTCTGACATTGTCTGGCATCGTTCAGTCTGTAACAATAGATTACACATTTTAAAGAAATGTTATATCCACAAAAAGTATTACATGATATGATACTCCATGTCCAGGCACTCAAATGCTGATGAGTTTGACTTCAAATCATGTCACACTCTCTTCACCAACTTAACTGCAGATGAATAGACAGTTTATTACAACAAAGATGATGATTACTACTCAATCTTAACTGTCTCCTGAGCAAGAAGATATCTAAAACATTTTTGTTAATTAAAGCTATTTACTATAGTGGTAGAATAGCAAAGCTGGTGGTGTATAGGCTAGTTATCCCCTACAGTCATGTCCTTGATCTCTCCTCTTGACATTTGACCTTGTGTGTAAGAGATTTATAGGCTGTTGGAGTACATGGGCTTTTTATAGACCTCTCAGCATACTGAAGAGTTTAATCTGTTAGTGACCGGTGGTAAGTAAAGCTTATTTTTGCAAGAAGTATTTTAACTTTTATATAAAAGGGATTTATCAAAATCCTGAGAAGGAATGTTTAAATATTATGTTGCACAATAACTTGTCTAACTTGCATGTCATCATAGTTTAGTATTTCCCTTGCAAATGTGAACTGCAATTGACTCCCTGACCCCAAAATAAGAGTTTGAATTGTTTTTTATGAGCCTTGGCTGTCAGGTATAATGGATATTATGTGTGGTGCAATCGGTTTTGTGTAAGCTGTCGTAGTAGGATAAGAGGAAAGCGGTTATAGCAGGGGTGTCAAACATACGGCCCACGATGGGGTCCAATCCAGCCCGCGGGTGGTTTGAGTATTAGTTTTTTCTCCAATATATATATTTTTTCAATATTTTATGGGGGTTGTAATGAATACAATATACTTTAAAATGACTAAAACAAAATCAAAACTGTAGAAATTATCATGGATCTACATTCATGCAGTCTGTGTCCAGCTCACTAATAATAACCAAAATGAAATCCAGAAAGTGAAGGAGCACCGAAAATTCAGAATATAATTTATAGAGGACTACTTTTTACTTATTTTGACGGTTACAAAATATAACCGAAATATAACTGAATGCGGCCCCCAGGGAAAATTAGTTTTACACCCCTGGATTATAGTGTCAATGTGAAATCTCAATTGCCATGAACAGGAAGAATCAAACAGCTACATCAGTGGCTGTTAGCACACATGGTAAGTCACCCATTTGAATTGCATTGCTCATCTCGGTTGTCTAGGTCTATTCTTCCTGACTGAATAAGTCAGATCATACTGTAACTAATGTTAAGCAGGCCCTTTGAAATGCCAATATTCTCTACTCCTTCCTTTTGAGCGAGTTAAGTTTCTTATGTCCTCAAGTCAATGGAGACCGCATGGGATAGTCATGCACACAATGAGCACTCCTGGCCTCATTCCCTCATCTCCCTATAGCCAGGGTGGTTTCCTCTTGGTAGAGGTCCTAAGTCAGATCTCCTTCTATAGCCAAGGGTGGGTTTCCTCTTGGTAGAGGTCCTAAGTCAGAATCTCCTCTATAGCCAGGGTGGTTTCCTCTTGGTAGATGTCCTAAGTCAGATCTCCTCTATAGCCAGGGTGGTTTCCTCTTGGTAGAGGTCCTAAGTCAGATCTCCTCTATAGCCAGGGTGGTTTCCTCTTGGTAGAGGTCCTAAGTCAGATCTCCTCTATAGCCAGGGTGGTTTCCTCTTGGTAGAGGTCCTAAGTCAGATTTGTATTTGTATTTATTATGGATCCCCATTAGTTCCTGCCAAGGCAGCAGCTACTCTTCCTGGGGTCCAGCAAAAATTAAGGCAGAAATATACATTATAATACAATTTTTAAACATTAAAATACATTTTACAACATTTCACAACACATTAAGTGTGTGCCCTCAGGCCACTACTCTACTACCACACACAATCAAGGTGTACGTGTGTGTATAGTGTGTATGTTATGTGTGTTTGTACCTGTGTGTGTGACTCTTCACAGTCGTCGCTGTTTCATAAGATGTATTTGTATCCTTTTTTAAAATCTGATTTTACTGCTTCCGTGAGTTACCTGATGTGGAATAGAGCTCCATGTAGTCATGGCTCTATGTAGTACTGTGCGCCTCCCAGAGTCTGACTGGACATGGGGATTGTGAAGAGAACTCTGGTGGCATGTCTTGTGGGGTATGCATGGGTGTCTGAGCTGTGTGCTCGGTGCATTCAACATGTCAATACTTCTTACAAAAACAAGTAGTGATGAAGTCAATCTGTCCTCTACTTTGAGCCATGAGAGATTGACTTGTTAGCTCTACGTGTACATTTAAGGGCCAACCGTCCTGCCCTGTTCTGGGCCAATTGTAATTTTCCCACGTCCCTCTTTGTGGCACCTGACCACACGACTGGGCAGTAGTCCAGGTGCAACAAAACTAGAGCCTGTAGGACCTGCCTTGTTGATATTGTTGTTAAGAAGGCAGAGCTGCACTTTATTATGGACAGACTTCTCCCCATTTTAGCTACTGTTGTAGCAACATGTTTTGACCATAACAGTTGACAATCCAGGGTTACTCCAAGCAGTTTAGTCTCCTCAATTTGCTCAATTTCCACATTATTCATTACAAGATTTAGTTGAGGTTTAGGGTTTAGTAAATGATTTTTCCCAATTACAATGCTTTTAGTTTTTGAAATATTTAGGACTAACTTATTTCTTGCCATCCATTCTGAAACTGACTGCAGCTCTTTGTTAAGTGTTGCAGTGATTTCACTCGCTGTAATAGCTGACGTGTATAGTGTTGAGTCATCCGCATACATAGACACTCAGGCTTTACTCAGAGACAGTGGCAGGTCATTAGTGAAGATTGAAAAAGTAAGGGGCCTAGACAGCTGCCCTGGGAAATGCCTGATTCTACCTGGATTATGTTGGAGAGGCTACCATTAAAGAACGCCCTCTGTGTTCTTTAATGTCCTAAGTCAGAGATGTCCTCTATAGCCAGGGTGGTTTCCTCTTGGTAGATGTCGCAAGTCAGATCCAGCCAACTGGCTTTTAATTAGTGTGAATTGATGGGAGCTGGTACCAGAGATAATGTTTATGGTTGATAGCAACTCTGTCTGCCCTTGAAAGCAACCGTTTTGTAATTCACTCATCTGTGGTAGAGGAGAGCTGAGATCCTGTGTTGTTGTCTGCCCTTCTTCCTGTGAGGGCAACTGGGCCAAACAGGAAGTCATTTCACCATGAGTCATCGCTGGTTCTCCCTGACCGGAGTGAGCGGTGAAAGTAAGGCTGAGTTTGGATTTGGCGTGTGCAGACATGGAGACGCTGTCTATCGACAGTGCCTTCGCCTCGTTGACCGAAGATGAGGGTCCTTATGAAGAGCTCCTGAATACATCAGAGTTTAGTATACTAGAACAGTATCTGTGTTTTATATGATGTGATATCCTTTATTATAACTTACAGAAGTATGACAGTAAGAAAAACAAGTGGATACATAGTGAGAGTATCCAGCTTTTCTGATGTATTGACGTCTAATCTGCATCAATAGAAAGGAGAAGTTTGGAGGACTTGTACAGATAACTATATACTGGCTAACTGATGTATACGCAGTTTAGCGTTTTCATCATGAACCTTGTTCTGGAGGCAGCGCTGCAAAGTGGTTACTAGCTGGCACAGCCACAAAGTCATAAAATTTGATTTTAAACCTAACCCTAACCTTAACCACACCGCTAGCCCTAATGACTAACCCTAACCTTAACCACACCGCTAGCCCTAATGACTAACCCTAACCT